TAGGGGCGCCGGGTCAGGAAAGGATGATGATGTGACCCTTCCTGACATTGGGAAACTGTCCGTGACGGAAAAGAAGAAGGACGACATGGACGTGGATCAGGAAGGCTCCAAGAAGGATTCCACCGGGACGAAGGAGCCCACGCCTCAGGGTACTGAGGCTGGGAAGACGGACCCGAGTGAGATTACCAACTTCAAAGGGGCTACCTCCGAGGAGTACCGGAAGACTGCTCCTGACTATGAGTACAGCGGGGAGGGAGATGATCGAAGGATCCTTCCCAAGAACACTCCGATAGACATGGAGAAGTCGTTGCCGGCCGAGGTAGCGCTCTTGATTCCGAGGGCAGTGGCCACGCAGAAGGAGGCTGAGGAAGCCGAGAGGGCCGCGATGGAGGCCATCCGCGGGGATTACAGGCTTCCGGATGTGGGTCAAGAAGACAGGGAGAAGGTCGACCCTTACACCGTGACGGACGAAGACTTGGCTGCGTCGGTAGACGCGTTGACTAGGAGGTTGAGCAACATGCCTGAGTGGTCGGGAAATTTGATCGACCCTGCGAAGTCTGCTGAGCTGGTCGCGGCGAGATGGGGCGGAAAGGCGAGTTATGACAAGCCTGAGGCTCCTCTGACTGAGGCTGGGATGAAAAGTGCGTCATTGGAGGATCGTGCCTACGCACTATCGCAGCTGAATCAGATGGTGAACTTTCACAAGAAGCACCTATGCTCTGGGCGAGGAGCGCCTCTGGTGAGTGCAGCTGCCCCTAGTGGACCCTTTGCTCCTGACCAGCTGGATGATAGCAGGAAGTTCAGGCCTAGTGAGGCGGCGAGCAAGATGACCTACAATCTTGTGATACTGGATGGGAAGAAGGATTATCTTGCCGATAGGCGAGAGATCAATCCAGAGTTGAGGGAAACGGGAGTTATCCCTGATGAGGCCGTCACTTGCCAGATTGTGGTTCCCTCGAAGACGAGGTTGGGCGAATACCTCCCGAACTACGAGGAGACCGTGGGCACCGTTGCAGGACGGGAAGCGGCGAAGGAGTTGATGAGACTGCTCTCGTGCGATTTCGACGGTTTGGTCATCAATTCAAAGAGAGTCTCGGAGTTATTCGAGGAACGTGTGCTGAAGGAGATCGGACGCGAGGCTGGAAACTGGGTGAAAAGTGACCAGGCCATCTGGTTCCTGAAGGAGATCTCGGGCATGGAGAACGCTGAGATGTCTTGGAAGTTCTTCATTCCGACGCTCAAAGCTTTCCCGATAGGGCAAGTTGAGGCGATGCTCATGGTCATGTACGACGGGAATGGCGTTCTCCTCAAAGAGAGCACCAGGTTGGTTGCCGTTAGGCACACGCGGATCGGACGCGACATGAGTTACAGTGCCGTTAGGCATAGGTACACTCAGGAAGATGCACCTGGCGGATCTCTGATGTATGAGATGCATTGGAATGAACTCCCCATGGTGGGGTACGTCATCATGAAGTTCTCGGACTTTCGGAAGGCGGTTCAGCTCCAAAGGGTAAGGCGAAATGGAAAGGCCATGATCGAGATATTGATCACGAGGCCCGATGTGTACGAGACCATTGGGGATGGTAGGCAGGATGAGGGCCTGATCCCACTTGTGGGAGCCATGGCGCCGGATGCCGAGGTATCGCCTTCGTGGTATGTCAGGGACAGGCTGCGGAACTACTCCGGTAGGTACGTGGTGGTAATGGTGGACCTTCGGGTGCACTGGTCCTTGGTTGGACCCGTGTTTCTGACAAGGAGGAAGACTCTCGCCGTCAGGAACGAGATCCACATGGGAGCTTGGAAGGCGGCATACATGTACGATGATTACACGATAGTGTACCATCGGCCATGGGACTATGGTGACTTCACCCCCGTTAGGGGAGAGCACAGGCGATCGCGGGAAGAGGTCAGATTGAATGTGACTACCACGTTCTGTTTGAGGTGCGCGGAGATGCGCGCTCCCGGTCTTTTACCCGAACTTTATCCCCAACGCGGAGGAGAAAGACTTCGAGAGATGCCTCATCGTACCGGAGTGGGTGAGAACCATGGGGCAGTTCAAGCCCAAGAGGATCCCCACCGAAGTGGTCGGAGTCATCAAGAGGAACTTGATTTCCTATTCGATGGCGTCTGATCTGAGGATGACGGTGCAGAGCGGCATCAGACTGCCCCCTTATCTTGGTGAGGACAAGGGAGGAGTCGATGCGGCGTGGGATGAGCTGGCGAAGGTGCTCTTCCAATTCTCCTATGTGTCGGGGATTTCGGCATCGGATGCATTCGTGGAAAAGTGGGTGGCGAAGCACCTGATTTTGACTAACCAAGTCGATAAATTTGAGTCGGTCACGGAGTACTTCCGGGCTAACCCAAGGCATGCTGCCCAGTGGGGTAGGCGTATGACGACTTCCGTTAGGAAGTTCGCTCGCCATGACACGTACTTGTCCTTCTACATCCCGATGGCATACGTGATTGGCTCCGCGGCTGGTCATCTGACCCCATTGTATCCGACCCATCGAAAGGACGTGGACATCCTGGAAAGTCATGCGTTGATTTCGCAGCTCAGGCAGTACATGGTATCGGAGACAGGGTACGATGAGAAGAAGAGGTTGAAGGAGGCGATAGCCAAGGTGCAGAAGGCGATCAGCGCCGGACAGTCGGAGCCTCCCGCACCCTTCCGCGACCCGTTCGTCTACGTTAGTGACGAAAGGGTGAGGACGGTTCTTGATGGTCGTCAACCCGAACCATTGAACGTGGACATCGAGGGACTTCAATCGGTGCATCATGTTGCGCCGGGTCCTGGTCCCAAGCAGGAGCCGGTCATCAAGGGCGGAAAAGGAAAAGGAAAGAAAGGGGAAAAGGGCGGTAAGGGCGGTAGTCCTTCCGGCCCACCACCAAAGTCAGGTGAAGTGCCAAGTAAAGGATCTGGTAAGGGCGGTAGCCCATCTGTCCCAAAGGCAAAAGCAAAGGATGACACTGGACCAGCTCCGATGGAGGTTGATGCGTCAGCGGCTCAGCCGAAGAAGACTTGGGCCACGATAGCGGTTGAAGGAGCCAGGCCGAGTGCGAAGGCTAAGATGACCCCAGTCCCAAAGGCCGACCCGAAAGGGAGGGTTGCTTCTGCGTCTGAGGCGAAGAGTGCTCCGGCTCCGAAGGCTGAGACCAAGGAGACGAAGCAGGCCGAACCGAGAGTTGAGGTCAAGAAGGAGAAGGTAGGCGGAGACGGTGCTCCTGGCGATAGTCGGGGGTCGGCCGAAGGGCAGAAGAGAGAAAGGAAGTCCCATTGGGATCCTGACGAAACTGTGAAGGAGTCAACGAAGCGAGAGGCCTCGACGAGGCCTGACGACGTTGACAGCAGACCAGGTGCGGCAGCAAGAGAGGCTAGTGGAGATGATCTTCACTCCGCGCTTGGCAGATTTTCGGCAAAGGATGCGGTAGCACCTTTGACGGCCTCCAAGGCAATGGCAAAGAAGCCTGAAGGCGGGGAGATCCGGTTGCAGTCTGCTGAGCGAGCTGCGGCGAGCCCGGTGGAGGGACACTTCCTGGTGCTGCCTGAGAGTTCAGTGGTGGACGCTTTCTTGTCGATCTCCACCAACAGAGTGCTGAACAAGCAAGTCAGGGATTTCATCAGAAATGGTGAGGACGCGTCAGCACTGGAGGCCCTAAATCAGATCGTGACGAACTCTCGCTCTGGGAGGAGGCGTAGGGAATCGGATGTTTCCCGTACTCCTTCTCGGAGGTCCGTTAGGACCGTGGACACCAGGGATTCCAGAGAGTCGAGAAGGCGCAGATACCGTCCACGGCGCGAGGATGATCGTGACCGGAGGAGGGACGATGCTCGTGATCGTCGTGATGATGAATCACTCGATCGGGAGCGAGATCGAAGGCGAGATGATCGCAGGAGATCCGAGAGGGATCGTGATAGGGACCGTGCGCGGGGCGGACGTGACCGGAGGAGACGTGACGATAGCCGGTAGGCTGAGTCACGAGGATTGCGGCCGATAGGCTTGCGTCCGTTCTCCAATGGTCGGCGCGGTGCGGAGGTGGTGATGTTCCTCCCGGACCGCTGAGGCGCGGAGGTCATGTCTCTCCCATACCGCTGCTGGGCTGCTGGACGTGTTCATCAGGAAGCAGTGTGAGTGAGAGGGAAAGCAAACTGATGGGGGGTTACTCCCGGGTTTGCAGAATTCAAGCATTTTTCAGGTACGCATGGTCAGGAGTACCTCTTGCCGTTAGGCGAGGGTACTAATGGACATACGTTATCTTTTATTTCATGGCTTCTGATAAGAATTAAACTTCTTGCATTGTTGATGCAAACAGTTGTGACCTAGTGTCGTCATGTGGACTTTTCCACAAGGTATGTTGGACAGCGTTACCCCGATTAATTCGGGGTGGTGGCGGGAATTTAATGCCCGGGATGTCGCGCGACTGCCTTTGTGGGTTTGCTCCACCGCTGACGGCGGTAGTGTCCAGCTGTTTGCGGACGCATGCGAGCAGTTAAATCCTATCAGTAAATGGCACGCTCCACCCGTCATATGACGGGCTCCTCGTGAGGGGGGTGTGATTAGCCATGGTTCATATCATCATCAGGGACGTCGCGTTAGTGACCGACCTGTGGTGTTTTGGCTCAAGTTTTGGGTTCCGTCGCGCCTCGAATGGGCGTCGCCGAACCCCTGCGTCGACCGACGGCATCTCGGGGGAGAAAGAGACCTCGGGCCGCCGCCAGGTTGGTAGGGGCCAGTCGTGCGGCCTGTTGTCGACCAAGGTTGCGGGTTAACCCTTTTCTTGTTTGGTTTGTTTCCTTTTGGTTGTTGTTCTCTGGTGTGTGGGAAACCCTGATCTTTGGGACCGGGGATTGGTTTGTTTTTGGGGAACCTTTGTTTTGTGGCTTGTTTACCCCAACTAACCCATTGCCTGGGCACAGGCTCGTGCCCGAATCACACTTTCGTGTCTTTGACCTCATTTCTGCCCTTCTTGCTTTGGTTTGTCCCATGCCAGATTCGATCGAGGCCATATCGGCATCGAGGGCTGCTGGCCTGAGCCGGGCCGAGCTGGCGCAGGAACGAAGCTGACTCGGCTTTGGCAAACATCGAAAGTCCGTGGGGATTTCAAGACATGGAGGATCCTTCGGGATTCAGAGCCAGTGGTGGTTTCAATGATAGCCGTGGTTGGTTGCCGGCTTTTCCCGTCAAGTGTCTGCTTCAGATGGTGTGCGCGAGGCTGAGGCAGCCTTGGCGCGCGCTGAGGCCACTGAGGAGCCTTTGGGTGAGAAACACGTGGCATGGACCGATTTGGTTTGGTTTCGCGGCTTTGGTCCAGTGCCTTTGGGCGAACTGCAGACTCAGATTCGAGGAGTTGCTAGCCGCCACAGCGGCTGCGAGAGAGAATCCATCAGGCCTGCGAGATGGCTGTGAGGATCGATACAGCAAGCATCGACTGGTCGTTATTGCACGTGTGTCCATGAGAACCAGTGGACATCTATGACAGTATGTGGGAAACCAGCATGATGCCCTTCTTAAGGCTGCCGCAAGGCATTGTGATGTCTATTGTGTAAACGTGCTTGGCGCTTCCGCAGGCACATTTACGCCTTTGAGCCAAGCGAAGCGGCGCAAGGCAAGCATTGTGAGCCAACAAGCAGCGACGCGCTAGCCGCCATCAGATATCCGTGGGCCCGACTATGAGCCCTCCCCCCCCAGATGTGAGTCAACAAAGCGCCGACCATGAGCCAACCAGAAGCCAAGAAGCGGCATATCAACTCCAGGGCCGTAGGCGCTTGCCCCGCATGCTGTTGACACTGGCGCTGCTCGAGCTGGGTCTGGCACGCTGATGCCTTGGGTCGCCAGTTTGTCTCACCTGCTGCTTTTGACTGCACGCTGCGCCAAGAGGTCCAAACATATTGCTGATCCAGACGGATGAGTTCGATGGCCGCATTCTGGACCCGACGACGTCAGGTGCGCACTCAGGAGTCTTTTTTGTTGTTGCGTAGATTGTTTTGGGAAAGACTAGAGCACCCGAAGTTGAAGGTAGACCATTCACCTGTCAGGTACTGACCTTCCCTACTTTGATGTGGCACCCTTGCACAACCTCAAAGCCATGCTAGCGGAGTCCGTGTCCATGGTCGCGTATAGCAACAACCCACTTTGCGCTCCCAGCCGAGCCTCGATGTGGTCTGGCCGCTATGCCTCGACTTCCAAAGCATACTCGAACTCCAAGGCCTTGTTCCTTGGCATGGGTTTGGCTGTTCAAGTTAGTGCACTAAACTCTCGGCCACTGAGTAGCAAGGCTTGTGCATCACGCTCCAGGCCTTGAGTGCCATATGCGACATGCGACATGGTCACGGCATGGTCACAAGCGTTGGGCGCTTAGGCTTTGCGACGTCACGCGGCCCAACTTGGCCGTTGATGTTTGCAACTCGGTTCGTGGATACCACGGCGTTTGTCAGGACTGACACAAGCTTGACTTCATCCCCTAAGTTTCCTGCAGACGTTCTTTCAAGCTTCTCCTTGTCTTCAGGAGTTGGCAAGAGCACAGCGGTGCCCACAGAACGGCACTCTGAACCTGATCCTGGAGCATGCAGGCAACATGTCATTTGCACCTTCTCGCCTGAGAAGGAGCGAGCGCACAGATCCTGGCCAGGATACAATGTGAAGCTTTTTGGAAAGATGGACACTGGGGGCGGTGCTGCCATGAATCCGCCGGGCACCAAAGGCGTTGGAATGCATACTGAAGCTGACTGGCCTCGGCCGCCAGCGTATCCTTCATCAGAGTCTCAGCTTATTTTCAGTGCCCTGGAGATTTGGATTCTTGACTGAGGGCTCGTTTCGAGTTCCATTGAAACTTTGCAGGTCTGGGGTGGCTACAAGCCCGGCAACATGCTGCACAGCTGGGCGGCCAGCTCTATGGTGACGAAGCCAGAGAAGATCCCATACGATGATCCGAGCAGCAGCTGGGTGAAGACTTCATCCTCCGAAGGCCGGGAAGCTGGATATTGAGAAGATGCGTGAGCATTTTCATACGCATCACCACGCTGTGGGTTTGTGGCTTCAACAAGCCGAAAGAGCCAATTATTGAATTAACAAAGTCCAGGATGGTCGTGATACGATCTAGTGCGTAGGGGTAGATATTGCATGGTGAGCTCAGATTGACATGTGGCTTGCTCTTTTCAGGGTCCCCCCACGAAGACGATTGGCAGACGGTGGAAAGCTGCGTCCAGTTCCTCGCTTCCTGGAAGCCTGGCGATGCCCCCTTTTTCTTGCAACTTGGCAACTTGCCTTCCCTTGGCCTAACTTCGCACGCCGCACGAGCCGCTGTGCAGCTGTGCAGGTATTGTTCTGTTCTCAACCCTCATCCGCCGTTCTGGTCCAACGCAACTTACCAGTCGAGTTTGAACACCACTGCCCGGTGCTCAGATGGATTGCGTCTCTCAAAGCGCTTTGTGCCATCAGAAGGCGGCGCTTTCGCCATCTCAGGCACTGCGAGCACTGCTGGCGCGGCCGGTGGGCGCCAGGCACCCGGCAGACCAACTGCAGCAGCAAAGGGAAGGCGCGAGCCGTTCGCGCGCCGCCATCCGCCGTCGTGCGCGCTGGGTCTGATGGAGGAGTCCCTGCGTGGAACGCGACGCTGGCATGGGAGCTCTCCACGGCGTACTATGGACAGGTCCAGGAGACGGATCTCATGGTCGGCCGCATCCTAAAAGCGTTAGGCAAGCTCCGCGACGCTCGGCAACCTGCCAGAAGCCAGACAAGGCAGCATTTTGTGAAGTGTACAAAGAGATGCCTTACTTTTGGCTGAGCGAAAGCTACGATGGATTGCGACTTGCTTGTAATGAGGACTCGACACTGACAATCTTCACGTCTGATCATGGAGAGCTAAAACTAGAGCACGGCCACGTCGAGAAGATGAGCCATTTTGAGGAGGGGGGGCGAGGTGACCAGGTTCATGGGAGCTGAGGGCTGCATGTTTGCTTGCTATAGCCCAGAGCGACTTCAGGGCTCCGCGCGTGTGCCGCTCATGGTCATGGGCCCGTCTCTGAGCCCCTTGGCAAGAGCTGGAGCATGGTATGAGCGCGTGAGCACAGCGTTTGGTAGACCAGAACCACAGACCTTCCGATCTGTGGTCTGTGATTTGCTTTTTTTTTCTGAGGCCCTCGACTGACCAGGGCCCCAGTGTCGCTCATCGACCTTTTTCCCACTTTCCTGGACTTTGCTGGAGTGGAGCGGCCGGCGTTTCTGGAGGGCAACAGCTTCCGAGCGCTGCTGCAAGGCCGACTCGGTAAGCCCAGCATGAAAGGCCATAAAGCACTGGTAGACATCCGCAACAACCAAGGGAGACAAGTCATTCTTTCCTTTTCGAAAAACAAGTCATATCTGAGTTGTAGTAGCAATGTATGACTTGCAAGTGCCTTCGCAGGTGGCCCAGCAGCGTCGGACATAGTGCTGTCGGAGTTCATGGGCGAGTCAGCCTTCCCGACGCCTAACATCATTCGTCAGCCCATTGCTTCTCATGGCAGACCCTGGGGAAGGAAGTTCTCAGCGTGCTGTGTAGCTGTGCCACTTTTTCCACTTTGGCTCCACTTTGACTCCACTTCCAATTCCCAAGGAATTGGATGCTCCGTCGCGGCGCGTGGAAGCTCATCAGCTACGGCCCGGCCTTTCCGCCGCTGCTCTTCGACTTGGAGGCGGATCCGGCGGAGGCGCAGGACCTCTCCCGGCTCCGACCAGGCGCGCTCGGCACGCGCGGCGCGCGGGTCCAGTTTCTCATTGGGGACCGCTTAGGGGGTTGATCAACATTCCGTCTAGGGCCCCCCAAGCGACCATGGGTAGCTTTTCCCCTTTTTTCCCCCGATAGCTGAAAGCTATAGGGGCTCTAACTTTGAATAAAGAGGGGAAAGTGATTTGCGAGATTGATGGGCTGGTGCTAGGAGGCGTGCAGTTTGGGGTGCTGGTGCAAGCGACCATGGGTAGCTTTTCCCATTTAGTGGGACATAGCTCATCTTTTTATTGGTTTTCCCCCAATGGCCATCCCACCATGCAAAGGGCCTTTTGATCAACCCCCAATTCTCATGACTCTTGCCGGAGTTTTTGTCTAATGAACCGTAGACTGTAGCCAGTTGCACGCCAAGATTTGGAACCTTGACCATGCTACAAAAGTACCAGTGAAGCGCTGCACAGATCTGGTGACGGAGCTGAACGCGCTGCTGAACTCGCGGGTGAACGTCGCTGCTGCTCTGCGTGAGCTGGAGCAGGAGAACAAGGCGCATGCACCTTGGCAGCCTTGAGGCGCAAGGAAATGAAGAGGAATGAGTCGGAATCTGAGACTGAACACACAAAGGGCTATGCGTATCTCAGTACAGTTGTATTGATCGTTTAAGTATGAATCCTCCTCTTTTTCCAGGTATTGCTCCCCAAAGATAGTTGGGCTATCCAAGTGCTGTCAACCAAGAATGTCGTGGACACAGCGAAGATAGCACATGCCTTTACCATGCATTTCACTCATACTGCATACTTGTCCTTTTTTTCCCAGTCTTATTGTGAGAGTGAGGAAGGAAGGCTGGGTTCCTGGCACTCATCTCTTTGTCCAGGCCCCTGAAGCTCCCAGGTCCATCACAAAGCAAGTGGGCTAGTGGCATGGGGATTGGACGGGATATACTGAAGTACAAAGAGCGCAAGGGGAAGAGAAAGGGGAAGGACAGAAGGACGGGACAAGTTTGGGCTGAAGCTTGGCTGGAAGCCAGGAACAAGACATGGTGAAAATTAGAGAGCCAGAATGGGGCAAGTTCAGACACTCCGGAATCAGGTGTGCTTTTTGGTTTGTTTTTTGTGTGATGTTATACCATTTAAACCTAGCAAGTGCACAAGCACTCAGTGAATACGATACTGAGGTGAGGCGCTGGATGGACTCGTACGGAAGTGAAGATGCCTGGCAGCAGCAGTTCCTTCACTTTTACGCAGGCCAGGGAGCCACACGTGCCGGGGATAGACACCGGATTGCTCTGACAGGTGCCACGGCAGCGGATGCGCTCAAGCTTAAAGAATGGCTCGGCGACAGCCGAGGAGCTGGCCGCCATGTGGACATTGTTCTCACATTGCAGTCCACGATGCAAGCTTGGAAAGCTTGGAAAGGTCGAAGGGATTCCGAATCTCAGAATGCAGTTGAATGTGATGAGCCTTTATGGTGCAGGACCTTCATCTTCAGAGGTTGCGCTGATGGTGTAGCCGAGAGAAAACAAGTCGGAGCAAGCAATGCCTGCGTCAAGGAAGTCACGGTGAACATGTGGCTTGTAGATTTCCTCGAGCTGTGGGCTGTGTCACATCTCGTAGGCCCTGCCGTGGACCGCCTGTCTGCTGCGCTTGACGCAGCCGCGGCGGCCGGCCTGCCTGATGAGGCATTGCAGTTCGCTCTGGCTCGATATGGCTTGAGAGACTTTTGCCAGGACCCTGCAGTGGCGGAGGCATGGTATCTGCGAGAGGACGCGTGCACAACTCGATCTTGTCACAAAGAAGCGATCAAGCAATCGTCATGGGTCGAGATGTTCACAGGACCTGATGGCCGACGCCGAAGTTCCAGAGGCGAGGCACAGCTCAAACCCAGTAGCAAGCTGAGAGATGAGTTCAGACGAGGTTGAGGGGCTGCGAGCAGTCTTCGAAGAAGCCCGCCTCCCGCAGCGAGCGGAAGAGGCCCGAACCAATCGCGAAGGAAAAAGACTCGCGCGGTGCCAAAAGCAAAGCCATGGAACCGCTGTGTGGCTTACAGACCAAACCGCGAAGGAATTTGCATTGACAGCATGCGGCCTCCATCAACTCAGCTCCTTGAACGTGACCTCCAGTCCCCGCTTTGCAGGCGGTTGCATGGTGCCGTGGCCAGAGGCTGACATTATCACGCATGTGGCATGGGCCATGACTTGTAGTTTTTGCAGCTTAGACATGATTCCGGCTTGATAGCGACGCTGTGGGAGCTCGTTAGCGACGCTGTGGAAAGTAATTGCAGGTTTCAGCAGAGCTCGGAGGTTGTTGCAGCAGCTCAGGCAGGAGACTGGCAGCTTCCCATTCCGAGCACAAACGAAAGGTCTTTTGGCCTTCAGGCGCTCGGAGATCACCTGAATCTCCGACCTTTGGAGAGAAAGCGATTAGACAAGGCCGGGGAGTTGGGTGCGGATGACAAGTTGCAAGAAAGCGTTGCTGTCATGTTCCGGTGTGTCGCAAATGAATGATTCGCAGTGATGTGTGTGGGGGTCTTCAGGCTTTGGGCGCCTGGGCTGAAGAGGCAGGGGCTGCAAGAGTCAGGGCACCGCGAGCGTGAAACTATAAGGCACAAAGTGAGAACGTGGACCAGAGGCAAGTAGCATTCTTGGAGCGAGTAAGTGGAAGACAGGAAGAGCAGCGTAAGGAGGATGCGTGTGCACAAGAGGCTGAACAGCTAGAGGAGGAGCGGAAGCGGCAAGAGGAGGAGGTCGAGAGGATAAGACAAGAAGAGGAAGCAGAAAGAAAGCGGCACGAGGAGGAGGCCGAGAGAATAAGACAAGAAGAGGAGGCAGAAAGAAAGCGGCAAGAGGAGGAGGCTGAGAGGATAAGACAAGAGGAGGAGGCAGAAAGAAAAAAGCACGAGGAGGAGGCCGAGAGGATACGGCAAGAAGAGGAGGCAGAAAGAAAGCGGCAAGAGGAGGAGGCCGAGAGGATAAGACAGGAAGAGGAGGCAGAAAGAAAGCGGCACGAGGAGGAGGCCGAGAGGATACGGCAAGAAGAGGAGGCAGAAAGAAAGCGGCAAGAGGAGGAGGCCGAGAGGATAAGACAAGAGGAGGAGGCAGAAAGAAAAAAGCACGAGGAGGAGGCCGAGAGGATAAGACAAGAAGAGGAGGCTGAAAGGATAAAGCAAGAAGAGGAGGCAGAAAGACAACGACACGAGGAGGAGGCCGAAAGGATAAGGCAAGAAGAGGAGGCAGAGAGAAAGCGGCACGAGGAGGAGGCCGAAAGGATAAGACAAGAAGAGGAGGCAGAAAGAAAGCGGCAAGAGGAGGAGGACGAGAGGATAAGACAAGAAGAGGAGGCAGAAAGAAAGCGGCAGGAGGAGGAGGCCGAAAGGATAAGACAAGAAGAGGAGGCAGAAAGAAAGCGGCAGGAGGCGGAGGCCGAGAGGATAAGACAAGAAGAGGAGGCAGAAAGGAAGCGGCAAGCGGAGGAGGCCGAGAGGATACGGCAAGAAGAGGAGGCAGAAAGGAAGCGGCACGAGGAGGAGGCCGAGAGGATACGGCAAGAAGAGGAGGCAGAAAGAAAGCGGCAAGAGCAGGAGGAGGCTGAAAGAAGGAGGCAGCACAACGTGTTGGAAGCAGCAGCTGCGCAAAACGACGTGGTTTCGCTGGAAGCTGCGATAGCAGCGAGCACACTAGCAACGCCAGAGGCCAGGCGGGTCGATTGACTTGACTGTTTGGAAGCAGGCGGTCCGCAATCATGTGCCTTCATCGTCCTAAACCTGCTTGTTTATGGGTTCTCGCTGATCTAAACAATCCGATCATTCCGTTCTCATGCACGGGAACTCTACAGAGGGAGTGGTGCTTCAGGTTTTGCAGCAGGCCAAGGACACCCTTTCCAGGCTCCAAGCATTCAATGCCCTGGAGGCGGGGTGCAAGGTGCAAGGCAGGGCTCAAGGCTTCCGGGGCTCATGGGGTGTGATCGAGCTTTGGGCTCCAAGTAGCCAGGCGTTGTTGAAGCAGCCGCAGGTAGAGGCGCGGGCTCAGGGCCAACATGCGTGTATACATGCGTGGGTGTGTGTGTGTGTGTGTGTGTGTGTGTGTGTGTGCGCATCCAGCACATTGAGCCCACGGTCATGAAGACGTTCATATCTCCAGCATGTACCAGTTTGCCTCGTCATGTTGCTAATGCTTTCGTTCCTTTGCGGACAGGTCCCTGCTTTGGAGGCTGCTCTCGCGACCGCAGAAGCGGTGAGGGTGGAGGAGCCATTGGGCTCGAGGTTTCGAGGCACTGCGCTGGGCTCGTTTGTCTGTCGAGGACTTGGCCGCTGCGCGGCAGAAGCTGAAGGCAGCGAAGCGAGTGGAGCGAGTGGAGCGAGCGGAGTGCGCGGAGAGAGTGCCAAGTCTTTCCTCGCGAACGCTGCTGAGGAGCTGCAAGACCAGGCAGCAGCGGAGAAAGCATTGCAGAAGGCGCTGAAAGGCAAAGACACGGAGGCAGGTCATAAGACCAATGGTACTATTGATTCTAGCCAAAAAAGCGACATCACATCACATAAGACAAAGAGAGAGAGAGAGAGAGAGAGTTCAAATTCTGCGACCTCACCATTGCTCGCCGATGAGGCGCTCTCATCTGCTATTGCCGCGGCCCGCAGCGCCGCAGCTTGTGAGGATCTGGTGAAACAAGCAGAGCAGCGTTTGCATGAACTGGAAGCAGAGAAGGAGAGGAAGGCTGGGATGGGTGGCTCACAGGGGAACAACTCGGATTTTTGCCTTTCTCCGCCTGGGCAACACCGTGTGCAACAGTTCATACCATGTCCAAAATTGCGGGTCAGTCACTTTGCTCAGACCAACTCGGATACTTCTCCAGCTTCGTGCACGTTCGACAGGCTGCCCAAGAGGAGCTTGCGAAAGCCGTCAAAGCAGCAAACGTCGGCGAGTTGGAGGCGGCCTTGTCAAAAGCCGAGAAGTGCGATCTGCCGGACAAGGCACAGAGATCACAGATTCCTTGTCCACGTAGTGGTACGTCAGGCACAAGCAGGGATATGTCATAAAGCACATGTGACGATGATGTTTCTATACACTGGTCATATTCATTTATCAAGTGCGAGTGGGCTACCTTTGCATGCTTTGTGTGCTTGTTCCTACTGTATAATACGTGCACACCCGGCCAATGTACATGATCTCTTGGCTTGCCTTCACCACGTTCGTCTCTTGCCACATGCACATCCAGAAATACCCCCCAGGAGAGTCTTACCCAGCTGAGAATCCCTGTGTCCCTGCAGCAAGTTTTTCTGCACATCCTGGAATCAAGTGGGTTGAGTGATCAAGAGCCCAGTGATTCATGCAGCTGATTTCCCAGCCCAGTGCAGACTGAATGCAGCCAGCTCAGCTAGCCCAAATAGTTAACACAGGCAGTCGGAAGCGCAAGCAGGAACTGAAGAAGCCTCGGCAAGTCCTGGCTGAGCTGAAGAGCCGAGAAGAAGCAAGCGCTGCTTTGGAGAAAGCAGCGGCTGGAAAGGACATGGAGGCTTGTTCTGAGGGGCAGATATACGCAGAAGTCGGCACGTCGACAGCGCTTTGCGGAGAGGGGAAAGCTCCTTGTATTCTTTCCTGAGCAAACAAAGTTGGGCAAATGCAGGCAGTATAGATCTGTGCCATACATATACGGTGCCGGCCAGTTCGTAGCGTTTGCGTGTGCAAGCAGGTGGCAGTTTTGGCGAGCTTGGCTGATCAGCTACTTTGATAGTTGTGCCAAAGCAGACCCTGCAGAATTTTGCAGACACACAGTAGTGACTCCCTTTGGGCTTCTGGTATGGGGCTGTGTGGTTGCGAGAGCCATGCTTTCTTGCGGCTTCAGGCGCTCAAAGCGGCCATTGCGAAAGCCAAAGCGAGCAAGGTGCAGGAGTCAGCCACTGCTGAAGCAGAGAAGAAGCTGCAGGAGCTTCGGCGAATCGCAGATCGTGAAACGACGACCGCTGCGCTGCATGCGGCGTCGGAGGCAGCAGATCTGAAGGCATTGCAGGCAGCCATCGAGAAGGCGGAGGCTTGCAGCGTGCCTGAGAAGGCCGGACCAGGCAAAAGACGGGGAAGTCGGAGACGTGGGGAAGATGGGGTAGATTCGGAAGAAGGGGAGAAGTCGGGGGCAGTTGGGCGTAAATCGTAGTGAGTTGCGAAGGGGATGGACCATCACGGCGACGTTGATATGTTGTCCTGAGCAGCCTGAAGATGGTTGGTCAGTTGGTTTGTTATGACGATGGCTCGTTGCCAACGGAAACGCGGCAACTCGGGCCACTTGTTGCAGCTGGGGCAGTTGGTGCATTCCAACCGAGTCCAGCCGCGATCTCTGCAGGAACTGAAGAAGCCTCGGCAAGTCCTGGCTGAGCTGAAGAGCCGAGAAGAAGCAAGCGCTGCTTTGGAGAAAGCAGCGGCTGGAAAGGACATGGAGGCTTGTTCTGAGGGGCAGATACGCAGAAGTCGGCACGTCGACAGCGCTTTGCGGAGAGGGGAAAGCTCCTTGTATTCTTTCCTGAGGAAACAAAGTTGGGCAAATGCAGGCAGTATAGATCTGTGCCATACATATACGGTGCCGGCCAGTTCGTAGCGTTTGCGTGTGCAAGCAGGTGGCAGTTTTGGCGAGGGCATGCCAGACCTAAGCTGGCTTGGGGTTGGGCAATCTTGGCTGATCAGCTACTTTGATGGTTGTGCCAAAGCAGACCCTGCAGAATTTTGCAGCCACACAGTAGTGACTCCCTTTGGGCTTCTGGTATGGGGCTGTGTGCTTGCGAGAGCCATGCTTTCTTGCGGCTTCAGGCGCTCAAAGCGGCCATTGCGAAAGCCAAAGCGAGCAAGGTGCAGGAGTCAGCCACTGCTGAAGCAGAGAAGAAGCTGCAGGAGCTTCGGCGAATCGCAGATCGTGAAACTGCGACCGCTGCGCTGCATGCGGCGTCGGAGGGAGCAGATCTGAAGGCATTGCAGGCAGCCATCGAGAATGCGGAGGCTTGCAGCGTGCCTGAGAAGGCTGGAGAAGATGGGGTAGATTCGGAAGAAGGGGAGAAGTCGGGGGCAGTTGGGCGTAAATCGTAGTGAGTTGCGAAGGGGATGGACCATCACGGCGACGTTGATATGTTGTCCTGAGCAGCCTGAAGATGGTTGGTCATTTGGTTTGTTATGACGATGGCTCGTTGCCAACGGAAACGCGGCAACTCGGGCCACTTGTTGCATCTGGGGCAGTTGGTGCATTCCAACCGAGTCCAGCCGCGATCTCTGCAGGAACTGAAGAAGCCTCGGCAAGTCCTGGCTGAGCTGAAGAGTCGAGAAGAAGCAAGCGCTGCTTTGGAAAAAGCAGCGGCTGGAAAGGACATGGAGGCTTGTTCTGAGGGGCAGATACGCAGAAGTCGGCACGTCGACAGCGCTTTGCGGAGAGGGGAAAGCTCCTTGTATTCTTTCCTGAGCAAACAAAGTTGGGCAAATGCAGGCAGTATAGATCTGTGCCATACATATACGGTGCCGGCCAGTTCGTAGCGTTTGCGTGTGCAAGCAGGTGGCAGTTTTGGCGAGGGCATGCCAGACCTAAGCTGGCTTGGGGTTGGGCAATCTTGGCTGATCAGCTACTTTGATAGTTGTGCCAAAGCAGACCCTGCAGAATTTTGCAGCCACACAGTAGTGACTCCCTTTGGGCTTCTGGTATGGGGCTGTGTGCTTGCGAGAGCCATGCTTTCTTGCGGCTTCAGGCGCTCAAAGCGGCCATTGCGAAAGCCAAAGCGAGCAAGGTGCAGGAGTCAGCCACTGCTGAAGCAGAGAAGAAGCTGCAGGAGCTTCGGCGAATCGCAGATCGTGAAGCTGCGACCGCTGCGCTGCATGCGGCGTCGGAGGGAGCAGATCTGAAGGCATTGCAGGCAGCCATCGAGAAGGCGGAGGCTTGCTGCGTGCCTGAGAAGGCCGGACCAGGGGGAAGACAGAGAAGCTTGGGCCAAGTCGGAGACGTGGGGAAGATGGGGTAGATTCGGAAGAAGGGGAGAAGTTGGGGGCAGTTGGGCGTAAATCGTAGTGAGTTGCTAAGGGGATGGACCATCACGGTGACGTTGATATGTTGTCCTGAGCAGCCTGAAGATGGTTGGTCAGTTGGTTTGTTATGACGATGACTTGTTGCCAACGGAAACGCGGCAACTCGGGCCACTTGTTGCAGCTGGGGCAGTTGGTACATTCCAGCCGAGTCCTGCCGCGATCTCTGCAGGAACTTAAGAAGCCTCGGCAAGCCCTGGCTGAGCTGAAGAGCCGAGAAGAAGCAAGCGCTGCTTTGGAAAAAGCAGCGGCTGGAAAGGACATGGAGGCTTGTTCTGAGGGGCAGATATACGCAGAAGTCGGCACGTCGACAGCGCTTTGCGGAGAGGGGAAAGCTCCTTGTATTCTTTCCCGAGGAAACAAAGTTGGGCACATGCAGGCAGTATAGATTTGTGCCATAATATACGGTGCCGGCCAGTTCGTAGCGTTTGCGTGTGCAAGCAGGTGGCAGTTTTGGCGAGGGCATGCCAGACCTAAGCTGGCTTGGGGTTGGGCAATCTTGGCTGATCAGCTAATTGATAGTTGTGCCACAGTAGTGACTCCCTTTGGGCTTCTGGTATGGGGCTGTGTGCTTGCGAGAGCCATGCTTTCTTGCGGCTTCAGGCGCTCAAAGCGGCCATTGCGAAAGCCAAAGCGAGCAAGGTGCAGGAGTCAGCCACTGCTGAAGCAGAGAAGAAGCTGCAGGAGCTTCGGCGAATCGCAGATCGTGAAGCTGCGACCGCTGCGCTGCATGCGGCGTCGGAGGGAGCAGATCTGAAGGCATTGCAGGCAGCCATCGAGAAGGCTGAGGCTTGCAGCGTGCCTGAGAAGGCCGGACCAGGAAAAAGACAGGGAAGCTTGGGCCAAGTCGGAGACGTGGGGAAGATGGGGTAGATTCGGAAGAAGGGGAAGACTCAGCAAGAGGTCATTGTTGGGTAAGCCTCAATGTTGGACCCAAATTGCATTTGCTGGGCAAGATGTGTCTCAACAGAGGTCGACCTAGCTCCGCACTAGAATCAATGGAAGATGTGTGTATTGCTCAGCAGAACAGTTGTGCGCTAGAATGCGCTCTGTAGCTTCGCGCGTGCTCCGGGCACCGTGTTTGTTGCGGGATGGCTTTGGGCTAGCTCCTGCTAGGATGGCGCCATGTTTGTCCCTTGCACCTCATGGGTCCTCTTTCCGCTCGCACATGGAGGTGAGCTGTCCGCTTTCATGATTGCCGGAGAGGAAGAAGATAGTTACACACGTGAGTCTGCTAATCACACACCAACGCGATGCAGCCAGGTAAATGAATGGCAAACGTTGGAACTGCAGCGCAAAGTAGAATGCTCACGAGCATTTCAAAGGGCCTGGACTGTGAGAGGGCTTTCGATCCCGACAGGAACTGCAGAGGCCAAAGCAAATCCTGGAGGAGCTGAAGAGCCGAGAAGAGGCCAGCGCTGCCTTGGCAAAAGCGGCAGCTGCCAAAGAAATGGAGGCAATGGGGAAGTACCTCACTTGCCATGGGCAGTGGCTGTTGGATGGACTTTGTAATAAAGTACTTTTGTCGAACAGGGGACTAGGTCAAAGGGAATCCGTGCACTCACTCATGTGCCCATATCCAGTGGCAACTGCATGTTTTCATCGTGTGTCATTTCTGGGATTCGTTCTTGGCTTCACGGCTTCGTTGATCATTGCGGCAAGGCAGACGCTTGAGGTTTTTGTAGCCAAATGGGTCTGGGGCTTGCGGTGTTTGTGTGGAATGTGCTTGCAAAAAAATCTTGTTAACTTGCGGGTGCTTCAGGCCCTCAAAGCGGCCATCGCAAAAGCCAAAGCGAACAAGGTGCAGGAGTCAGCCACTGCTGAAGCCGAGAAGAAGCTGCAGGAGCTTCAGCGAATTGCAGATCGTGAAGCGGCGACAGCTGCTCTGCAGGCGGCGTCGGAGGCAGCAGATGCGAAGGCCTTGCAGGCAGCCATCGAGAAGGCGGAGGCTTGCAGCGTGGCTGAGAAGGCTGGACGGGAGAAGTCGAACAGGTGGGGAAGATGGGGAAGATGGACGACCACTTGTTGCCAACGGAGACCGGTTGCCCAGGACCTAGATTGGGCCACTTGGCTCAGATGAGACAGCGACCCCTTGCAGGAACTGAAGAAGCCAAAGCAAATCCTGGCCGAGCTGAAAAGCCGAGAAGAAGCAAGTGCTGCTTTGGCAAAAGCAGCGGCTGGAAAGGACATGGAGGCGACTTGGAAAGGGGCTAGATGGGGCAGTAGCCGACATGCCTCGGGCAGCAGCGGAGCCCGTGGGTGGATGTGGGAAAGCTCGCTGAGCGGGGCACTAGGTCAAAAGAACGCGGGCAGGGTAGCTGTGTAGGATGGCGTGTGGGCCAGAACGAAGCTGGCTTTGATGCGGGCAATCTTGCCACAGCAGCTTTGTTGCTTTTTACCCTGCTCTGGGGACAGCTGGGGTTTGGGCTATGTTGGCTTGTGGGGCCTTTGGGGTGTGCTTGCTAGAATCGTGTTGATTGGCGGATGCTGCAGGCTCTCAAAGCGGCGATTGCAGCAGCCAAAGCCAGCAAGGTGCAGGAGTCAGCCATTGCTGAAGCAGAGAAGAAGCTGCAGGAGCTTCAGCAAATTGCAGATCGTGAAGCTGCGACAGCTGCTGTGCATGCGGCGTCGGAGGCAGCAGATGCGAAGGCCTTGCAGGCAGCCATTGAGAAGGCTGAGGCTTGCAGTGTAGCTGACAAGGCTGGCCGGGGGGGGGAAGACGGTGTTGCTGACGCTGGTGGTCGGGTCGGGGTTGGGTCGCGATTATGGGGCCTTTGCGATTCTCGAAGATGGCAATTTTTGGTTGTTGTGACCACTGGATGCCAAACAAAACCCGGTCAACCAGGGCCAGCACATGCGGCAACGGCAAGGGGGCCAAGTCAAGTTTGCGGCTTTTGTTCCGACTCGTGTAGGAACTGAAGAAACCTCGGCAACTTCTAGCCGAGCTGAAGAGCCGAGAAGAAGCAAGTGCTGCTTTGGCAAAAGCAGCGGCTGGAAAGGACATGGAGGCGACTTGGGAGGGGCCAGATTGGGCGGAAGGTTTGGCAACTAGCAGGCTTTTGTGGCCAAACAGTGGTGGAGACTTCTTTTGAGGCTTGATCTTATTACTTGCGGGTGCTTCAGGCGCTCAAAGCGGCCATTGCGAAAGCCAAAGGGAGCAAGGTGCAGGAGTCAGCCACTGCTGAAGCAGAGAAGAAGCTGCAGGAGCTTCAGCAAATTGCAGATCGTGAAGCTGCGACAGCTGCTCTGCATGCGGCGTCGGAGGCAGCAAATGTGAAGGCATTGCAGGCAGCCATTGAGAAGGCTGAGGCTTGCAGTGTGGCTGACAAGGCTGGCCGAGCGGGGTTGGTGAGGGGACGATGGGTGAGTCGGGTCGGGGTTGGTTGGGGATGAGTCCTCTTTGCGATCCGATTTGCACCCGGACAGCCAGGGCCAAGTTGGGCCATTTGTTCCAGCCGTGACCCCTGTAGGAACTGAAGAAGCCTCGGCAAGTTCTGGCCGAGCTGAAGAGCCGAGAAGAAGCAAGTGCTGCTTTGGCGAGAGCAGCGGCTGGAAAGGACATGGAGGCGACTTGGGAGGGGCCAGATTGGGCAGAAAGGTTTGGCAACTAGGTGTTTGTAGCCAGACAGTAGTGGGGGCGTCTTTTGAGGCTTGATCTCATTGCTTGCGGGTGCTTCAGGTGCTCAAAGCGGCCATTGCGAAAGCCAAAGGGAGCAAGGTGCAGGAGTCAGCCACTGCTGAAGCAGAGAAGAAGCTGCAGGAGCTTCAGCAAATTGCAGATCGTGAAGCTGCGACAGCTGCTGTGCATGCGGCGTCGGAGGCAGCAGATGCGAAGGCCTTGCAGGCAGCCATTGAGAAGGCTGAGGCTTGCAGTGTGGCTGACAAGGCTGGCCGAGCGGGGTTGGTGAGGGGACGATGGGTGAGTCGGGTCGGGGTTGGTTGGGGATGAGTCCTCTTTGCGATCCGATTTGCACCCGGACAGCCAGGGCCAAGTTGGGCCTTTTGTTCCAGCCGTGACCCCTGTAGGAACTGAAGAAGCCTCGGCAAGTTCTGGCCGAGCTGAAGAGCCGAGAAGAAGCAAGTGCTGCTTTGGCAAAAGCAGCGGCTGGAAAGGACATGGAGGCGACTTGGGAGGGGCCAGATTGGGCGGAAGGTTTGGCAACTAGCAGGATTTTGTAGCCAAACAGTGGCTTCTTTTGAGGCTTGATCTTATTACTTGCGGGTGCTTCAGGCGCTCAAAGCGGCCATTGCAAAAGCCAAAGGGAGCAAGGTGCAGGAGTCAGCCACTGCTGAAGCAGAGAAGAAGCTGCAGGAGCTTCAGCAAATTGCAGATCGTGAAGCTGCGACAGCTGCTCTGCATGCGGCGTCGGAGGCAGCAGATGCGAAGGCCTTGCAGGCAGCCATTGAGAAGGCTGAGGCTTGCAGCGTGGCTGACAAGGCTGGCCGAGCGAGGTTGGTGAGGGGACGATGGGTGAGTCGGGTCGGGGTCTTTGTGCTTATAAAATATATGAATTTCCAAGATTCTAAAGTTTACAATAAACAATAAAAAAGCAAAATAAATAAATAAAAGAAAAATCATAATAAAAGATGAAAAAGGAAAGACACAAACAATATAAGATAAGCAAATAAACATAAAGAAAAGAAAAAGATAGGAAAGTTATTCCTGATCCAATAGATGACAGGTAATTCCAGGAATGAAAAGAATCTGGAAAGGATGGGATTCTTCTTGGCATAACATTAAATCCTAAGAAATGCATTGGGGAAAAGGTAAGAAGAATAGCAATAAATATTAAATTACAATGATAAAGAGAGAGTGTACATGAGGATGAAAGTAATAAATTCTTAGTACCAACAATCTTTTCTCCATTGAAGATTATTCCAGAGAAGATAGCAATTATAGCTCCTAAAGAAAGAACAAAATGAAAATGTGCTACAACATAATATGTATCATGTAATCCTAGATCCACTGCAGCATTTCCTAGAATTATTCCTGTTGACCCACCTATAGTAAACATTAATAAAAAGAGAAGAAAGAAGAAGACAGAAGTAATTCTAAGGTGTAATAAAGATGGATTGGAGAGATATGTAAAAAGCCAATTAAAGATTTTTGTACCAGTTGGTAAAGATATTAAGATTGTAACTCCTGTAAAATAAGCTCTTGTATCACTTTCTAAACCTACAGTATACATATGATGTCCCCAAACAAGACTTCCAAGAAGAGAAATAGATGACATGGCAAAGATCATTGATTGCTTAGCAAAGATTATTAACTGTAAAATCCCAGAAATTATTATGGAAATGATCCCAAATGCAGGAATTATTAAGATGTAAACTTCTGGATGTCCAAAAAACCAAAATAAATGTTGATAGAATATAGGATCTCCTCCAAATATTGGATCAAAGAAAAGTGTATTAGAATGAAGATCACCCAACATTAAAAGAAGTGTACCAGATAAGATAGGTAATGTTAATAAAAGCATGAAAGCTGTAATCAAGAAAGAGAAAGGAAATAATGGGATAGTCTTTAATATAAGATAATAAGATCTCAGATTTAGAATTGTTGTCCAAAAGTTAAGAGATGTAAGACATGAAGATATACCAGAGATTAATAATCCTAATATAAGATTTCCTGTACTTGAAGGTGATAAAGTCATAAAATAAGTGGATAATGGTGGATATAATGTCCATCCTGTACCACCTCCAAATTCTGAGATTAAAGAAAGGATTAGGAAAAGATATGAAAGTAAAAGAATTATGATAGAAAAATTATTGACTCTAGGATATACCACTTCTGGAGATAATTGAAAGATAGGTACAAAATAATTTCCAAATCCTCCAAACAAGCCAGGCACTACTAAAAAGAAGATCATAAGAAAGCCATGCAATGTAATGCTTATATTATAGAAGTTCAATGCGATTGTCGGACAGCCAGGGCCAAGTTGGGCCATTTGTTCCAGCCGTGACCCCTGTAGGAACTGAAGAAGCCTCGGCAAGTTCTGGCCGAGCTGAAGAGCCGAGAAGAAGCAAGTGCTGCTTTGACAAAAGCAGCGGCTGGAAAGGACATGGAGGCGACTTGGAAGGGGCCAGATTGGGCAGAAAGGTTTGGCAACTAGGTGTTTGTAGCCAAACAGTAGTGGGGGCTTCTTTTGAGGCTTGATCTTATTGCTTGCGGGTGCTTCAGGTGCTCAAAGCGGCCATTGCGAAAGCCAAAGCGAGCAAGGTGCAGGAGTCAGCCACTGCTGAAGCAGAGAAGAAGCTGCAGGAGCTTCAGCAAATTGCAGATCGTGAAGCTGCGACAGCTGCTCTGCATGCGGCGTCGGAGGCAGCAGATGCGAAGGCCTTGCAGGCAGCCATTGAGAAGGCTGAGGCTTGCAGCGTGGCTGACAAGGCTATGGGTGAGTCGGGTCGAGGTCGGTTGGGGATGAATCCTTTGTGTGATGCGATTGTCGGACAGCCAGGGCCGTGTTGGGCCATTTGTTCCAGCCGTGACCCCGGTAGGAACTGAAGAAGCCTCGGCAAGTTCTAGCCGAGCTGAAGAGCCGAGAAGAAGCAAGTGCTGCTTTGGCAAAAGCAGCGGCTGGAAAGGACATGGAGGCGACTTGGGAGGGGCCAGATTGGGCAGAAAGGTTTGGCAACTAGGTGTTTGTAGCCAAACAGTAGTGGAGACTTCTTTTGAGGCTTGATCTTATTGACTTGCGGGTTCAACGAGACGACGATAACGTGCCCCGCGCAGTCGCGTACCTCTGCTTCAGGTGCTCAAAGCGGCCATTGCAAAAGCCAAAGGGAGGAAGGTGCAGGAGTCAGCCATTGCTGAAGCAGAGAAGAAGCTGCAGGAGCTTCAGCAAATTGCTGATCGTGAAGCTGCGACAGCTGCTCTGCATGCGGCGTCGGAGGCAGCAGATGCGAAGGCCTTGCAGGCAGCCATTGAGAAGGCTGAGGCTTGCAGTGTGGCTGACAAGGCTGGCCGAGCGGGGTTGGTGAGGGGACGATGGGTGAGTCGGGTCGGGGTCGGTTAGGGATGAGTCCTCTTTTTGCGATCCGATTGTCACCCGGACAGCCAGGGCCAAGTTGGGCCTTTTGTTCCATCCGTGACCCCTGCAGGAACTGAAGAAGCCTCGGCAAGTTCTGGCCGAGCTGAAGAGCCGAGAAGAAGCAAGTGCTGCTTTGGCGAGAGCAGCGGCTGGAAAGGACATGGAGGCGACTTGGGAGGGGCCAGATTGGGCAGAACGGCTTGGCAACTAGGTGTTTGTAGCCAAACAGTAGTGGAGGCTTCTTTTGAGGCTTGATCTCATTGCTTGCGGGTGCTTCAGGTGCTCAAAGCGGCCATTGCGAAAGCCAAAGCAAGCAAGGTGCAGGAATCAGCCACTGCTGAAGCAGAAAAGAAGCTGCAGGAGCTTCAGCAAATTGCAGATCGTGAAGCTGCGACAGCTGCTGTGCATGCGGCGTCGGAGGCAGCAGATGCGAAGGCCTTGCAGGCAGCCATTGAGAAGGCTGAGGCTTGCAGTGTGGCTGACAAGGCTGGCCGAGCGGGGTTGGTGAGGGGACGATGGGTGAGTCGGGTCGGGGTCGGTTGGGGATGAGTCCTCTTTGCGATCCGATTGTCACCCGGACAGCCAGGGCCAAGTTGGGCCATTTGTTCCAGCCGTGACCCCTGCAGGAACTGAAGAAGCCTCGGCAAGTTCTGGCCGAGCTGAAGAGCCGAGAAGAAGCAAGTGCTGCTTTGGCAAAAGCAGCGGCTGGAAAGGACATGGAGGCGACTTGGGAGGGGCCAGATTGGGCGGAAAGGTTTGGCAACTGGCTGGATGTTGTAGCCAAACAGTGGTGGAAACTTCTTTTGAGGCTTGATCTTATTACTTGCGGGTGCTTCAGGTGCTCAAAGCGGCCATTGCGAAAGCCAAAGGGAGCAAGGTGCAGGAGTCAGCCACTGCTGAAGCAGAGAAGAAGCTGCAGGAGCTTCAGCAAATTGCAGATCGTGAAGCTGCGACAGCTGCTGTGCATGCGGCGTCGGAGGCAGCAGATGCGAAGGCCTTGCAGGCAGCCATTGAGAAGGCGGAGGCTTGCAGCGTGGCTGACAAGGCTGGCCGAGCGGGGTTGGTGAGGGGACGATGGGTGAGTCGGGTCGGGGTCGGTTGGGGATGAGTCCTCTTTGCGATCCGATTGTCACCCGGACAGCCAGGGCCAAGTTGGGCCTTTTGTTCCAGCCGTGACCCCTGAAGGAACTGAAGAAGCCTCGGCAAGTTCTGGCCGAGCTGAAGAGCCGAGAAGAAGCAAGTGCTGCTTTGGCAAAAGCAGCGGCTGGAAAGGACATGGAGGCGACTTGGAAGGGGCAAGATTGGGCAGAAAGGTTTGGCAACTAGCAGGTGTTTGTAGCCAAACAGTAGTGGGGGCTTCTTTTGAGGCTTGATCTTATTGCTTGCGGGTGCTTCAGGTGCTCAAAGCGGCCATTGCGAAAGCCAAAGGGAGCAAGGTGCAGGAGTCAGCCACTGCTGAAGCAGAGAAGAAGCTGCAGGAGCTTCAGCAAATTGCAGATCGTGAAGCTGCGACAGCTGCTGTGCATGCGGCATCGGAGGCAGCAGATGCGAAGGCCTTGCAGGCAGCCATTGAGAAGGCTGAGGCTTGCAGCGTGGCTGACAAGGCTGGCCGAGCGGGGTTGGTGAGGGGACGATGGGTGAGTCGGGTCGGGGTCGGTTGGGGATGAGTCCTCTTTGCGATCCGATTGTCACCCGGACAGCCAGGGCCAGTTGGGCCTTTTAAGTTGGGCCTTTTGTTCCAGCCGTGACCCCTGTAGGAACTGAAGAAGCCTCGGCAAGTTCTGGCCGAGCTGAAGAGCCGAGAAGAAGCAAGTGCTGCTTTGGCGAGAGCAGCGGCTGGAAAGGACATGGAGGCGACTTGGGAGGGGCCAGATTGGGCAGAAAGGTTTGGCAACTAGGTGTTTGTAGCCAAACAGTAGTGGGGGCTTCTTTTGAGGCTTGATCTCATTGCTTGCTGTGCTTCAGGTGCTCAAAGCGGCCATTGCGAAAGCCAAAGCAAGCAAGGTGCAGGAGTCAGCCACTGCTGAAGCAGAAAAGAAGCTGCAGGAGCTTCAGCAAATTGCAGATCGTGAAGCTGCGACAGCTGCTGTGCATGCGGCGTCGGAGGCAGCAGATGCGAAGGCCTTGCAGGCAGCCATTGAGAAGGCTGAGGCTTGCAGTGTGGCTGACAAGGCTGGCCGAGCGGGGTTGGTGAGGGGACGATGGGTGAGTCGGGTCGGGGTCGGTTGGGGATGAGTCCTCTTTGCGATCCGATTTGCACCCGGACAGCCAGGGCCAAGTTGGGCCTTTTGTTCCAGCCGTGACCCCTGTAGGAACTGAAGAAGCCTCGGCAAGTTCTGGCCGAGCTGAAGAGCCGAGAAGAAGCAAGTGCTGCTTTGGCAAAAGCAGCGGCTGGAAAGGACATGGAGGCGACTTGGGAGGGGCCAGATTGGGCAGAAAGGTTTGGCAACTAGGTGTTTGTAGCCAGACAGTAGTGGAGGCTTCTTTTGAGGTTTGATCTTATTGCTTGCGGGTGCTTCAGGTGCTCAAAGCGGCCATTGCGAAAGCCAAAGCGAGCAAGGTGCAGGAGTCAGCCACTGCTGAAGCAGAGAAGAAGCTGCAGGAGCTTCAGCAAATTGCAGATCGTGAAGCTGCGACAGCTGCTGTGCATGCGGCGTCGGAGGCAGCAGATGTGAAGGCCTTGCAGGCAGCCATAGAGAAGGCTGAGGCTTGCAGCGTGGCTGACAAGGCTGGCCGAGCGGGGTTGGTGAGGGGACGATGGGTGAGTCGGGTCGGGGTCGGTTGGGGATGAGTCCTCTTTGCGATCCGATTGTCACCCGGACAGCCAGGGCCAAGTTGGGCCTTTTGTTCCAGCCGTGACCCCTTGTAGGAACTGAAGAAGCCTCGGCAAGTTCTGGCCGAGCTGAAGAGCCGAGAAGAAGCAAGTGCTGCTTTGGCGAGAGCAGCGGCTGGAAAGGACATGGAGGCGACTTGGGAGGGGCCAGATTGGGCAGAAAGGTTTGGCAACTAGGTGTTTGTAGCCAGACAGTAGTGGGGGCTTCTTTTGAGGCTTGATCTCATTGCTTGCGGGTGCTTCAGGTGCTCAAAGCGGCCATTGCGAAAGCCAAAGGAGCAAGGTGCAGGAGTCAGCCACTGCTGAAGCAGAAGAAGCTGCAGGAGCTTCAGCAAATTGCAGATCGTGAAGCTGCGACAGCTGCTCTGCATGCGGCGTCGGAGAGCAGATGCGAAGGCCTTGCAGGCAGCCATTGAGAAGGCTGAGGCTTGCAGTGTGGCTGACAAGGCTGGCCGAGCGGGGTTGGTGAGGGGACGATGGGTGAGTCGGGTCGGGGTTGGTTGGGGATGAGTCCTCTTTGCGATCCGATTTGCACCCGGACAGCCAGGGCCAAGTTGGGCCTTTTGTTCCAGCCGTGACCCCTGTAGGAACTGAAGAAGCCTCGGCAAGTTCTGGCCGAGCTGAAGAGCCGAGAAGAAGCAAGTGCTGCTTTGGCAAAAGCAGCGGCTGGAAAGGACATGGAGGCGACTTGGGAGGGCCAGATTGGGCAGAAAGGTTTGGCAACTAGGTGTTTGTAGCCAGACAGTAGTGGGGGTCTTCTTTTGAGGTTTGATCTTATTGCTTGCGGGTGCTTCAGGTGCTCAAAGCGGCCATTGCGAAAGCCAAAGCGAGCAAGGTGCAGGAGTCAGCCACTGCTGAAGCAGAAAGAAGCTGCAGGAGCTTCAGCAAATTGCAGATCGTGAAGCTGCGACAGCTGCTGTGCATGCGGCGTCGGAGGCAGCAGATGCGAAGGCCTTGCAGGCAGCCATTGAGAAGGCTGAGGCTTGCAGTGTGGCTGACAAGGCTGGCCGAGCGGGGTTGGTGAGGGGACGATGGGTGAGTCGGGTCGGGGTTGGTTGGGGATGAGTCCTCTTTGCGATCCGATTTGCACCCGGACAGCCAGGGCCAAGTTGGGCCTTTTGTTCCAGCCGTGACCCCTGTAGGAACTGAAGAAGCCTCGGCAAGTTCTGGCCGAGCTGAAGAGCCGAGAAGAAGCAAGTGCTGCTTTGGCGAGAGCAGCGGCTGGAAAGGACATGGAGGCGACTTGGGAGGGGCCAGATTGGGCAGAAAGGTTTGGCAACTAGGTGTTTGTAGCCAGACAGTAGTGGGGGCTTCTTTTGAGGTTTGATCTCATTGCTTGCGGGTGCTTCAGGTGCTCAAAGCGGCCATTGCGAAAGCCAAAGGAGCAAGGTGCAGGAGTCAGCCACTGCTGAAGCAGAGAAGAAGCTGCAGGAGCTTCAGCAAATTGCAGATCGTGAAGCTGCGACAGCTGCTGTGCATGCGGCGTCGGAGGCAGCAGATGCGAAGGCCTTGCAGGCAGCCATTGAGAAGGCTGAGGCTTGCAGCGTGGCTGACAAGGCTGGCCGAGCGGGGTTGGTGAGGGGACGATGGGTGAGTCGGGTCGGGGTTGGTTGGGGATGAGTCCTCTTTGCGATCCGATTTGCACCCGGACAGCCAGGGCCAAGTTGGGCCTTTTGTTCCAGCCGTGACCCCTTGTAGGAACTGAAGAAGCCTCGGCAAGTTCTGGCCGAGCTGAAGAGCCGAGAAGAAGCAAGTGCTGCTTTGGCGAGAGCAGCGGCTGGAAAGGACATGGAGGCGACTTGGGAGGGGCCAGATTGGGCAGAAAGGTTTGGCAACTAGGTGTTTGTAGCCAGACAGTAGTGGGGGCTTCTTTTGAGGCTTGATCTCATTGCTTGCGGGTGCTTCAGGTGCTCAAAGCGGCCATTGCGAAAGCCAAAGGGAGCAAGGTGCAGGAGTCAGCCACTGCTGAAGCAGAGAAGAAGCTGCAGGAGCTTCAGCAAATTGCAGATCGTGAAGCTGCGACAGCTGCTGTGCATGCGGCGTCGGAGGCAGCAGATGCGAAGGCCTTGCAGGCAGCCATTGAGAAGGCTGAGGCTTGCAGTGTGGCTGACAAGGCTGGCCGAGCGGGGTTGGTGAGGGGACGATGGGTGAGTCGGGTCGGGGTTGGTTGGGGATGAGTCCTCTTTGCGATCCGATTTGCACCCGGACAGCCAGGGCCAAGTTGGGCCTTTTGTTCCAGCCGTGACCCCTGTAGGAACTGAAGAAGCCTCGGCAAGTTCTGGCCGAGCTGAAGAGCCGAGAAGAAGCAAGTGCTGCTTTGGCGAGAGCAGCGGCTGGAAAGGACATGGAGGCGACTTGGGAGGGGCCAGATTGGGCAGAAAGGTTTGGCAACTAGGTGTTTGTAGCCAGACAGTAGTGGGGGCTTCTTTTGAGGCTTGATCTCATTGCTTGCGGGTGCTTCAGGTGCTCAAAGCGGCCATTGCGAAAGCCAAAGCAAGCAAGGTGCAGGAGTCAGCCACTGCTGAAGCAGAAAAGAAGCTGCAGGAGCTTCAGCAAATTGCAGATCGTGAAGCTGCGACAGCTGCTGTGCATGCGGCGTCGGAGGCAGCAGATGCGAAGGCCTTGCAGGCAGCCATAGAGAAGGCTGAGGCTTGCAGCGTGGCTGACAAGGCTGGCCGAGCGGGGTTGGTGAGGGGACGATGGGTGAGTCGGGTCGGGGTTGGTTGGGGATGAGTCCTCTTTGCGATCCGATTTGCACCCGGACAGCCAGGGCCAAGTTGGGCCTTTTGTTCCAGCCGTGACCCCTGTAGGAACTGAAGAAGCCTCGGCAAGTTCTGGCCGAGCTGAAGAGCCGAGAAGAAGCAAGTGCTGCTTTGGCGAGAGCAGCGGCTGGAAAGGACATGGAGGCGACTTGGGAGGGGCCAGATTGGGCAGAAAGGTTTGGCAACTAGGTGTTTGTAGCCAGACAGTAGTGGGGGCTTCTTTTGAGGCTTGATCTCATTGCTTGCGGGTGCTTCAGGTGCTCAAAGCGGCCATTGCGAAAGCCAAAGCAAGCAAGGTGCAGGAGTCAGCCACTGCTGAAGCAGAAAAGAAGCTGCAGGAGCTTCAGCAAATTGCAGATCGTGAAGCTGCGACAGCTGCTGTGCATGCGGCGTCGGAGGCAGCAGATGCGAAGGCCTTGCAGGCAGCCATAGAGAAGGCTGAGGCTTGCAGCGTGGCTGACAAGGCTGGCCGAGGGGAACACGAAGCCCACGGCAGCCGATTCAGAGATAAAATTGGGTGATTCAGCAGCCCAACCAGTTTGCGACTTAGCCAAGCCCAAACGATGCGGATACCAAACTCTATCGCTTGAACAACGAACACCACATGATTCTGCAGCCAAAGCCCCCACGCGATTCTTCACAAGCAACATTCGGTGCCTCAGAAACCAGCATAAGGCCACAGATTGTTGCGATTCAACCCGGCGCTTCGCAACCTGACCGAATCCTGGCATTCTGCATTCAACATTCCACCGCTCAGAAGCCAATGCCTTGCATTCGGTCGCAAAGAAATATCCGCTCCAGAGCAGCTGCTTATCACGTTGTTGGTTTCCCAAGTAGGGGTTTTGAATTGCGAGTCACATTTGCGTTGATTTCCGGGACATGTTTTGCTTCCGAATCAAGAAAGAAGACGATGTGACCAATCAGGGCAAGAAGCGAGCCGCAAGATGATTGTGCGAGCATCAATGTTTGAAGTACACTGGCAAGAGGAGGGCCCCGACAAACATCAAGTGAATCGTTGCGGGGAGTGCTGGGTTCGCGCAGGTGTCGCGGTATCATCAATGGACAAATGGCGTTTTGTTGAGCAGGAGCGTGTTCACAGCTCACTTTTGAGGAGTCTAGATGCCGTTGTGGCACTTGTCACAGCAAACCGTTTGCCAAATTCTGGCGTTCGCCATGCACAGTGCAACACAAGCTGCTGAATATGCGCTGGTGACAGTTCCTTTGGTTTGTGCCTTGCAACAGACAGAGCTTAGAATCATGACCAAACGCAACTCGGCAGCTTTCGGCATTCTTAGGGACGGCATTGTTTTGGCTCGAACTGCCTACACATTTTGTGGGATTACATTTGGAGAATCTGCTTGAGGGCATTTGGGCTTCCAGTCCTGACCCCTGCAGGAACTGAAGAAGCCAAAGCAAGTCCTGGCCGAGCTGAAAAGGCGAGAAGAGGCAAGCGCTTCTTTGGCAAAAGCAGCGGCTGGAAAGGACATGGAGGACTGGGAAGGGCTGTCGGGGCCAGGCAACCAGGTCAAGCAGGAACACGAGCTTGAAATTTTGGCAGAACTGCGAGGCATTCAGACTTAGTGTCCAGGCAATCGTCGTAGACCATTGCAGGGAGAGCGGCTGCTACCTGCCAATTCTCTAAGAGCTGACCAGAGGGTCGGGATTTCGCTTGGCCATTGCCAGGATTCGGACAAAACAGCCACCGGTCACTAGTCCATGGGCCATTGATGATGGACATTGGGGGGGACTATCTAAATTTACCGAACTAACTGGGGGACTCACTACTTTTGGAATGTCCGTGACGGCATTTTTTGGATGCCGCAGGCCCTCAAAGCGGCCATCGCAACAGCCAAGGCCAGCAAGGTGCAGGAGTCAGCCACTGCTGAAGCAGAGAAGAAGCTGCAGGAGCTTCAGCGAATCGCAGATCGTGAAGCGGCGACAGCTGCGCTGCATGCGGCGTCGGAGGCAGCAGATGTGAAGGCGTTGCAGGCAGCCATTGAGAAGGCTGAGGCTTGCAGCGTGCCTGAAGAGGCTGGGGGATGCTTGTGCTCTTGTGGTGCCTAGGCAATGGTGACCAATTTTGTCAAGACTAGTCCAACATGTGCCACACACACAGCCTAGGACTTGTTTCAGTCACGCAGTTTGGAGGCACTGGAGGAGCCACGACGAGTGTTGGCCGAAGTGACAGCTCGAGAGGAAGCAATTTCCACATTAGCAGAAGCAGCAGCTGGCAAAGATGTGGAGGCGGATCGCGCAGGGGGTACAGCAGCGGCTTTTCAATGCCAAAAGGTAGCCCGAAGGAAGCTGCATAAACATTGAGCACATCTATCTTAATGAGCATCGAATCATTTTCCACCAGGCACACTGCAACCAAGCAGCAAAACTCAGGAGCTGCTTGGTCAGAGCTTCCTGCGAGTTCTCGGGGAAGGGACCGCACACCCTGAAAATGTCTAGGACTTTGCATGTGATATGTTGGACTTGTCACCCACGGACAGACTGGCGTGCCTGGTGTGAGACTTGCGGGACTTGTGGGACTTGTGGGACTTTGGGGGCGGGAATCGGTCAGCGCGCCAGGCCCTCAAAGCGGCCATCGCAACAGCCAAGGCCAGCAAGGTGCAGGAGTCAGCCACTGCTGAAGCGGAGAAGAAGCTGCAGGAGCTTCAGCAAATCGCAGATCGCGAAGCGGCGACAGCTGCGCTGCATGCGGCGTCGGAGGCAGCAGATGTGAAGGCGTTGCAGGCAGCCATTGAGAAGGCGGAGGCTTGCAGCGTGGCTGAAGAGGCGGGGATGGCCAATACGATCTACTACGGTTGCGGTTTCCATCTATTTCCAGCTGCCTGAAGCATTCTTTAGCTGTTTGATATATGGCCGACCATGTCACAGCTTGGTTTGGCAGGAGCTTGGAAAGAGCCGCAATGCTTTGCGCGAGCTCAGCAAGAAGGACTGCGCTTTTGATTAAAAGTGTGTGTGTGTGTGTGTGTGGATTTGCGTGTTCAATGTTCGATATATTGACAAATGACAAGTTGGAGACGATTGGCTTTCGTTGATGCTACCTGTGCATCTTGCAGGAGTCTGAAGCCAGGCAACCGGAAGGGCTGGGGGAGTGGCATTCGCATGGAGCCCCTGCTTTGAGAATGTTGGATTTCGACAGATCAGCCGTAGGAATCAAAGGGCAGATCAGCCGAAGTCAATGAGTGAAGGCAGAGTTGCACCTTGAAGAGATGTGTGCAAAGGCCAGTCGGTTTTCTGGCCCACGCAACACACACACACACACAAACACACACAGCCCGGCACCTAAACATCTAAACCCTAAATCCTGAAACCCCAGACCCTAAAACCACAACCCCAAACCCTGAAACCTCTCGAATTTCTAGATATGTTGCAAACCGCTTAGAGGAAATGCGATCGATCTCCGTGACGCAATGGCGAAATGGGTGCCAGTCCTACACGCTATGCGCCGGTGCCTTGCGCAGATGAGGCTCGGGGAGGGGGGTTCTGTACGCCATGCGCGTGGGAATCTATTGGTTTTTGTGGCACGAGCGGTTTGTGGAACCACCACGTCTTGCGGTAGGCGTCGCAGCGCAGCACTGGGAGCTGGACGACCAGTGCCAGCCATGAGGACATATGTGGTGTGCTGTTGGCTATTTTGTTGCGGAGTCACGAGCCACTACATGGTTGGTACCCTTGCGAGGCACTGGTATTTGTGCAGAATGATGTCGCCTGAACAGGAGGAGGTTGCACTCACATGGCAGATCATCAAGTACTCCCTGCTTGGAATCTGCGCTGTTTGCTACTACTACGGCCTCACGCAGGCCGTGGCTTCTGGGCTCTTTCAAGGCAGGCAGCATTTTCGCCAGGCCCTCTTTGTCGTCACGACGCCGGTGTATGGCGGCAGCGGTGAGCCGCCAGTGCAGAGATCAAACTTGGATCTCATCACCTTCTTGTGCCCTCGGTGAATCTTTCATGCACGGTGAGAGCATGTGTTTGTTCAATGCGCCTTGACCATCTTGGAAGAGGTGCGATGGCTGACTGCAAGCGCCAGTCGCACTGCTTTCCAGGTACGACCGGGGCATGCCCACGGCTTCTTGTGCCGCAGCCCAGCTGCAGGGGCAGATGTCTCAAGTGAGTCAAAGACCGGCGACTCGATGCAGGTTCTTGCGTTTACCGTGCTGATCCCGGTGCTGAAGTTCGGCATGGCCGCTGTGTTGCTCTGGAAGCCAAAGAAGCTTTCAAAGCACCTTGAGGCGATTTGCCGATTCTTGAGCTTCATCTCCCCCTACCAGATGTGCGACATCTTCCTTGTGATGCTGATGCTCTCCTATCTGAACATTGGTGCAGAGTCCGGGGGCTACAGCTGTGAGCTCTGCCAAGGTTTCACGAGCTTCTTCATTTACTGCGTGGGCTCCGTAGTCCTCGCGCAGATGCTGGAGGCCGAGCTAGAGATCCCGCCAGAGCCCTTCAGCGTCCGCGAGCCCTTCAGCGTCCGCGAGGTCTCAGCTCGGAGCACCGACCGTTCCCGACTGGAGCCAAAGGAGCCAAAACTGGACGCCAGTCCTACGAGTCGAATGGTCCTCTCCCTGGCTTGGCTGGTGTTCACCGGTTTGGCCGCGGCGCCTTTGGCGCCCCTGTCTCTGCAGGCACGTGCCGCCGGGTTCGTGGTCTACCGGCAGGAGCCGAGTTTCATGGAGCTCTTCTGCAGCTTGTTGTCGCAGAGCCGCTTCTTCGCATTCCTGGAGCTGACTCTGGTCGTCCTGGCGCCTGCCTGCTGCATCCTTCTGAGCTTTTGGCCAAAGGCTTGCCTGCCTCATGGATTGGTTCTCCTTCTGAAGCATGTGCTACAGCCCATGGCGATGGGAGATGTGGCAGCTGTTGCGCTGTGTGCGCTGTACCTCTCGATTCAGGACCGTTCCACGGAATGATTCGACAAATGCTTTTCTTCTTTGTTTGACCCGTTGGATTCCCTTAAACGCCGCAACAACATGGCACCAACCTCAGAACAAGACGAGCCACCCGAGGCATGATGAACATGAAACGATGGCAGGAGCCTTGGAGCAAACTCGTCCGCCTCTGCGTGCGCCTGCCGCCATGGCCAGTGGCTTTCTTCGCCTTCCTGGGCTCAGGCCGGGGCCTCGCGGCCTCGGGGCCACGGACGCATTGGACCAAAGCCTCATTGAAGAAGGGGACAGTTACCAGATATATTGAGATATAATATAGAAGGGGTCGTTTTTGGGGATTCTCACATGGTTTTGGCAGCTGATGTTAGGCTGGGGCATACTCTGCGGCTTAAGTACGACTTCCAACAGAGGTATGCTCGGGTGACATGTAACATTGTGAAACACCACGAGATCATCATCGAGCAAACAGTTTTGTAGACTAAAGCTTGCGAGCGGGTAGTTTGGAGCCGACTCGGCAAATCAAACAGCAGGTGTGGCCTCCATGCACCTCCGCCTCTCAGTGCGGCCGCGGCTGTGCGAGACCCTTTGCTGCCTGGGATTCTGTGCTGCCCTGTGGGCCTTTGGACACTTGGCTTAGTCTCGCCTTTGGAGAGAGGCGTCCTTCAAGGAAGGTTGGGAGATATTGTCCAAGTCCGTTGAGGGATGGGGATGCTCACTCAATCAAGAATCCACCAGAAAGACACATCCGAACACGTACACATGCATAGATATTTGACGATGATTTCATTGGCTTCACGTTTTGGCCTCCGCTCACGGAGGCCCACGGGAGCCTCCGGTGGCGCTGCGGAGCCTCGGGGAGCTGAACGCGGCGCTGGCGGAGGACTTGCCGGCGCTGAGCCGCGCGCTGCTGCGGCACCTCCCCGGCAGCCTGGCTCCGAACTGCACGGAGCGGGCGTCGAGTCGTCGAGTCGTCGAGTCGTCGAGTCGTCGAGTCGTCGAGTCGTCGAGTCGTCGAGTCGTCGAGTCGTCGAGTCGTCGAGTCGTCGAGTCGTCGAGTCGTCGGGTGCGGCGAATTCGAGGGACGTCGAGCGGGGTTTGTGGCTTGGGACGGTCCTCGTGTTTTGATGAACTGAGATACAAACCAAGGTAGCTCGTGCGAGGGCCCCCGAATTTGGGCGTTTGAACCCCGAATTTGGGTGAAGAGACCACAGAGAGGAGCTCCAGAGCCGAGACTGCCAAGAGGCAGAGCTGCCAGTCTTCACGGTGCAGCTTGCCTTTGAACAAGCTTCCTCGCTTCGGCATGCGGGCAGCTTGGAAGGGGTCTTGCATCTAAGGCCGGTGCTGGATGTGCACTGCCACTTCACCTGGGTGCAAGGCCTTCACACCATGAGGCTTCTTGAGGCCGGAGGTTTTTGGAACGCCAGAGTGTGCGGTCCTCAACTCTTGCTCCGCGTGTGCAGGCCATGATTCTGGACAGGAACGCTAGCGACCTGTGCCTTGGCCCAGCAACAACGCTGCGCATCAGGCAATCCAGGTGTCGTTGATAGCCACTTTGCGAGAACAAACAGGTCCGTGTTTCTAAGGCAGAGATGGGCACTGAGAATTGCGGGGAGCTTCACTGCCGCTCGGCGGTTGTTTGCATGTTGATGCAGTAGTTCCATCGATGTGATCGAGTGACTTGTGCCATACTGCCGGAACCTCGAGTGGCACCAAGGAATTGCAAGTTCACATGCAGGCGGGGCCTGAAGCGTGTGCATTCAGTCGGGTTGCAGCCTTGCAAGGCGATGCAATTCGGCAGATCTCTGCTGGAAGGGCAGGTGTGCTGCCCCAAAGGTCTGAATTGGACTCTACAGGCGGGGCTTCGCGAAACCATCATGAAAGAGAGCCAGGCATTGCACTTGCGCGAAAGCAAGCAAATCGCGGTGCGCAGCTCGTACTTGTCAGGTGTCTGCCGAATGCACTCCTGGGAAGGCCTTCCGCGGAAACGATCCTTAGCATAATTCAGTCTCTCGAGATTTGAGTAAAGTTTGGCCATGCTTCTTGTTTGCCACAGTTTGTCAGGGTTCTATGGGATTAGCTGGTTTGTGACTTGACAGTGCTGCGCCTGAAGTGATGCTCAGTTTGCCATCTCCGATTTGACCGTTGCTTGTTTCCAGCCAAGGTCACTGTGGCCAGCTCAGTCGCAGTGCCAACTCTCGACCAAACCGCGCATTGGACCGTCTCAGGTGGACTCCTTCCACACGGATGACCTAGCCGTGCCGTCTTTGCACCTTTCGGGCAACTGAGCAGCACAGTCCGCAGATGTCAACTTAAAGCTCACATCCGGCGTTGCGGGCAAAGTCACTCAAACCGCACATTCAAGAAGTGTCGCATGCCTTTGCCTTTGAAGAACAATTCCGGCCCGAAGTAACGTAAGGCAGCTCACCGTCCATTGGGGTGCACTCTCAAACCCAGTACCATCGTCCATTTCGGAGGTTCGTTGGCAGTTTATTCTGCTGACAGTGCACCCTTTCCTACCACCAGGGAAACAGCCACATCAAGGAAAGCACGCTCACCACTCGCTGCTCAAACACCCACACACACGCACAAACGCAAGCAAACACAAACACCAACACAAACACCAACACAAACCACAAACCACACACCACACACAAACACAGAGCATAAACAACACGCCTTCACGCAAACCTACACAAGCACAAACACGCACGCATACACGCACAAGCACACAGGCACATAAGCGTGCAAGTGCCCGCACACTCACACTAATGTGTGTGTGTGTGGGTGGGTGTGAGTGTGTGTGTGTGTGCGCGCGCGTGTGTGTGTGCGCGCGCATGTGCGTGCGCGTGTGCCATGTCGTGCAGGCTTGCATGCCTGAACATGTTGACAACTCGGCAATGATTGAAACAATGCAAACAGGTCATGTGTGCTGTTGGAGAGCACAAGCCGGTTAGCAGAAGCATCACCACAGGAAGATCAAACCTTACCTCACTCAAGCTTTTTTCTCACCGATTACGGCATGCTGTTGCTTGCCCTGATCATATCCAGTGTTTCAGTGGGTCTTCACTACAAGAACCACCCTTGCGCTTTCTTGAGCTCCAGTCTTGCATAGGCATGCCAGGCCTCGCCTCCCTGAAGTTCGATCTCGGCTCGGCCACGAGGCCATTGCGGCTTTTTGGACGTGTTGGTAGCCCGTTGCTGGGCTCTCCCGCGTGCGGTCGGTTGCAAAGGGGCAAAGGAGGGCCTCATTTTGGACACTGGAGGCAGTTGATGTCATGCGAGCTCTTTCTCGGAGGCTCCTGGATGCAGAGCTGCGGACGCAGATGGAGAAGTTGCTGCTGCACTCGGGGGATTCGGCGCTGCTTATGAAGTTGCGTGGGGACACAGCGCGGTCGCGTTTTCCAGTTGTGACAGTCTTCAATTTGGGCACTTTGATCCCATGTTGTCATGGGCAAGGACTGGAATGGCTGAATCTTCACCTGAGTTGATTCGCCCACCCTCCTAGGCTGAACATGGTCGTGGCCAACAATGGCGGCGCTTCGTGCCCTGGTCTTCGAGCGGAAGACCAAAAAAGTGCATGATGCGCGCAAAGCGCGCAGCGGCAAAACGCTTGGTTTCGCGGAGTTGCTGTTTTGTTGGTTTGCAAAGTGTATGGGGATGCAGGCAAGCTAGCGGCAATTGCTCCATGTCGGAGGTAGAATAGCAAAGCGTACTCGAATTTACCCGGCTCCTCCATGGTTCAGTGCATGAGCTTTGTCTTCCCTTGGCTCATGCTCCACTTCCTTCCATAGTCTGCCAAGGTCAGGGCACAAACAAAGAGTTCATGGCTTCAGATGCAAACTCCCCAACTCCCCAACTCGGCCTGGGAACTTGACTTGCACTTCCTGCCAGGCAAGGCGGCGAGGCGGGTTGGATCCGCCGCGCTGTTCGAATGTCACTTTCTCTGAAGCTTCACCTACAATACCATTGAAACCACCCATACGGATCCCACTGAGGAATCCAGTTTCGTGATTGGCTATTCGAAAGTCGTTCCACAACTTATATTTTTGTAGTTGTCTGTTCAAGTGTTCATCACTCGCCAGTCATTCATTCAGGCGAACCTGCCTCTTTCTCAAAGAGGCAGCTCGAGGTTCTTGGATGATTTGGCCCGCTCCCGCAGCTGTCTCGGCTGGCCCGGTGGTCTGCAGGCGCAGGCTTCCAGGCGCGCGAAAAAAGATGTGCCTGTGATGTGTCACCAGGGACTCCAAATGGTTTAAATGTCGGTTTTCCTTTTGCAACTGTTCCAAGAAAGCTTTTGCCCACGGGGCCCCTTTGTACATAGCCGCATTGGTCTTGCCTTTGTATCTCTCTAGTGCAGCACCTTGCAGAGCCAGACAAGGTTTCAATTTGTGGAGCTCAGATTTCACCTGAAGATAGCTTCGTAGAATGCGACTTCCAGGGATGCTGGCTGCCAGCAGACTGAGATCAAGGCCTGGCTCACTCAGCCAAACGGAGCGGCGGAGCCGCGGAGCCCGAGTGACGTGTTTAGTGCGCGCTGCAGTCGCAGGCTTCCCAGACAGCTGCAGACCCTTTCACGAGGCACGCATTTGACTAGCAGCTTTGTCAGTTGCAGCTTTGGTGGCGTTGCCTCCAGTGTGGGCTGAGGCGAAAGCGCGTGCGTCGCAACTCACCAGGCTCGACGATGTGCAAAGCCCACCCTTGCAAACCCTGATTTTCAAGCACATGTGAATGTGGTGCATGTGGTGCATGTGGTGCATGAGCTCTAGATGCAAACCTGCACGAGAGTCTGGGGTTGGTCAGGTTGCCTGGCGCTCTTGGCGACCAGCCGCATGTCCAGGTGCGGCCAAAATTGTATGCGCATTCAAGGGAGACTGAAGCAGATTAAAGTGGATCAACGGCTTGTGATGATTACCATCCGGTTAGGAACTTTAGAGCTTGAGGTTTGAGAAATATGGGAGTATCAAGACGTGTGGGACTCAAGTCAGACATGCTGCAGGCAGGCTGCACGTGCGATGCTGCACCACTGGGCTTTCATCAGAGGAGACAGCGTCCGCATTATACAACAGCCGAGTTTGCACATGCCACAGACCGGACATGTCAAGTGGCCCACAGAGTGGTTGATGCCTTGCATTCTTGTGCTGAAAGGAGCGGATCGCAAGATTAGAGACGGAGGTTCAGTCGCTGAAAAAGAAGCTTGACGAGGTTGTGGCCTGAGAGCGTGGAACATCGATCGTTAAATAGGCACAGCTGGCATGCAGACCACACTTGACAGCCTTTGGTTCGCATAAGGTTGAGCAGGTAGCAACGAAGGCGGCAAAGAGGACCGACTATGCCAGCGCTTTGTCTTATTATTTTATTGGTTGCCGGCAAGACTTGTACGCAGCACAGGAAGGGCATTATTGCCTTCGTGAAAGAAGCCGGCGCGCCATTTGCGCTATGGTGCGCTGCCTCGTTTTCATCGGCCAGTGAATCGAGAGAGCAAGTTTTACCCGAGGTATGTCGTCTGCTGGTCTGGCAGCTTTCTAGCGCTGTACCTCATGTTGGAGTGGGAGGCGAGGTGCGTCTCTCACCAGCTCTGCAAGTTGGGGCTTCCAGTCGAGGTTATCTCCTGGCAGCAGTCACTGCGTCCGCTCTTTGAAAAAATGGGCATGGACCAGTACTTCGAGAACATTGCCCGCAGCCAAGATGGAGTGATTTTGAGATGTGGCGTCCTGCGGCCAGTGGCTTGTTCTTTTTGGGGCATAGGGGCCAGCTGGCATGAAGCATTCTGATGCCGCCCAAGGACCCCACCGCTGGAAACATTGCCCTCGCCTTTGCGGCGCGGGTCTTAAGGCGATTTCGAGTCCTCAGATGTCCAGGGCGGATATGTTAGGTTGGGGAACAGAGTTAGGGGCCGGAACTCCATGTTTGATACGCAGAGTTTGTTTTGGGAACTCCATGTTGCGTCCGAGAACAGAGTTATGTTTGAAAGTAACCACGCAGACGCAGAATTCATTGTGTTGAGAAGCATTCCACTCCGGTCACGAGTTGGCTGTGGCAAAGTGCATGAGGTGAACGAGCTGCTTGAGGCGGTGCGCTTTCCGCCGGGGAGCCTGGGTTGCGCACATCTGCAACGAGCATTTGTTCTTGACCTTCCTGTCATCTAGTGCCTATGTAGGTGATTTCTTGTTTTTAGGGGACCCCCAACAATGACAAACCCAACCAAAACAGTGGTACTGCCCTCAAAGAAAGGCAGACCCATGGTGCGGTCCAACGTCGGCACGTGGCAGCCCGAGGTTCGTGATCGCCACAAGCGGCCCGATCATCCGCCTCGCTGCGCGGCTGCGGCCTGTGAAGGCCTTTGGAATCCAAATGGACGCGGGCGTGCTTGTTGTGAGGGTTCCCCTTTTTTGTGGTTTAGAAGGGACATCCAAAACGAGGGCCACGAGGCTGGGGGGCTTTGTTTGGATCCATACCGCCTTTTTTGTCTCTGGGATCCTGCCCGAACCTCTCTCCCGGTTGTGTGAAGAAAAGGCAACCGTTGCCCTCCAACAGGGTCTTTTCCTGAGCCGAATGCGCGGTTTCGAGTCCTAGCAAACAGATGGAGCCTTCGCCGGGGTCAATTGGGATGGAAGGATTCCAGGGCAAAGGCCATTGTCCCTTCATGATCTCGATATGCGAGCTGTTTCGCGTGTTTCTAGTGTTTTTCTTGCTTCGTTGCTTTGCTACAGGCAGCTGCTGGTGATAGCCTCAAGATTGTGCTTCTGACACAGACAGACGCAGACGAGTGACGCGTCATTTGCGGCGCCCAGGTCCATGAAGTGCTGGCACTGATCAGAGGTCCAGCGCCCGGGAGAAGGAGCACTCCATCGGCACAAGCAGCTTACGGAAGATTTGTAGTCGCACTATGTTGGATTCAACGAATCCGTGCAGATTGCTCACAAGCAGCGTGCGGACCCTGTTGGCTTCGAAAGATTGCCGGGGGACTAAAAGGACCGCGGCTTGTCAGATGCGAGAGTTGCGAGAGAGTCTGAGTCGGTCCATTGAAAGGATCCTTCTCCTTCACACCTGCAATCTCCTTGCGTGATAAACCCCGCCCTCTTTGGATGCGTAGTTTATCCAGTTGCGATTTTTATTCATCAAGCTGGTATAGGAGGAATCCCCCTGTAGTTTCATAAGATTTGAGTAGTGGTGGATGCCCGATTTATGCTTGCTATGCAGGTCTCGTCCTACGTCGGAAGTGCCCGAATTCAAGGTTATGCTCTGACTGGCTGTCTGGCATTTTCCTGAATAAGTGTGTTTACGTGTTTGGGACCCCTCCCGCTGATTGAATGGTGCTGGTTCCTTTGAACCAGCCAGTCCCCCTCCCCCCCCAAGAGGGATCCAATCTCGTTTTGCTGCATCAACTGTCCATTTCCCAGGTTTGTAGGTTTGACCACGCGCAGGCCTATGCAGCTTTGGAGGCCGCGCAGGCCTCAGGCTGGTGGGTTGCAGACCGTCTGGGGTTCGTAAGCATGATCATCAAATCAGGAAACGTATCTGTACTGAGGACAAAAACTCACCATGACCCTTGAAGTGCTCTTTCTTTCCCAGACTGAAGCGTTTAGAAGTCGTCAGTATGACTGCTCCAGATCTTCTGACACGACATCGAAAGGTAGACAATTGAAATGATCAGTCAATGAGCATTTGCCAAGCTGCAGAAAGTGACGGTACCTGCGTGAAGCATACTCAAGGGGAAACACAATGATGGGATGAGATACGCACGCGCACAATCGAAAGCTTACGTAGCATTGTCTTTCATTCTCATGAGGTGAACCAGATGGTGAATGTTGTACCTTTGAACCTTCCTTCCGAAGAAGAACAGGGACCCGTCCCTGGAGGGTCCCTTCTTGGAATGTGTTTCAGAAGAGAACAAAGAGATATCAGTCATTGCGCATCCGCACACCCACCTTGAGCTTATTCATCAATGTTCACAGACATCTTGTCTGTATCCTTTTGGTGTTTTTGTTCTTCATTGAATGTCTGTGGCCTTGTGGTGTTTTGTTCTTCCTTTGTTGTCCGTGGCCTTGGGGTGTTTTGTTCTTCATTGGTTGTCTGTGGCCTCAGGGTGTTCCTTTGTTGTCCGTGGCCTTGGTTTTGTTCCTGGTTGGTTGTCCGTGTCCTTGGGGTGTTTTTTTGTTCTTCATTGAATGTCTGTGGCCTTGTGGTGTTTTGTTCTTCCTTTGTTGCCCGTGGCCTTGGGGTGTTTTGTTCTTCATTGGCTGTCCGTGGCCTCGGGGTGTTCCTTTGTTGTCCGTGGCCTTGGTTTTGTTCCTGGTTGGTTGTCCGTGTCCTTGGGTGTTTTTGTTCGGAGCGCCATTTTTTTTTGGTTTTTTTTTGTTAATGTTGAAACGCATGTGGAAACATGAACTGTGTCTGAAATGCTTGACCATAATGGCCCCGGCCATTTTGGCTCAAGCTTTGCCCTTGGGTTCTCTGAACCCAACTTGTGTGAAAAATTTGAGGTGAAACACTTCCGAACTAACCCCGAACCAGCAATGGCCTCCTCGGCAACTTCGGCAACTTCCTTCGAGTTGATTGAGGACCAGACGCTCACCGCGGAGGAGGTGGAAATGGCCAGCCAGGAGGCCCAGGAAATCCGCACACGCGAGGCGGCAGTGGCGGCCGGCCTGGTGTTGGATGAGCCCGAGGCCCCCCCGTCGGCATCGGCCACCGACGTGATGAACGACCTCTCCAGTGCACTGGAGCGGCTCCGTGTGGCCTTCTCCACACCGACTTCCGGCCTGGGTGCCCCTGGCCCCGCCGAGGAAGAGGACAAGGAGATGGGCGATGCGGACGCCACGGAGAGGCTGAAGGGCTTCGTGGCGGCTTCCCAGAAGACCACGGCCCCGGTGAACAAACCGGTCTCCCTGGTGCCGGTGGAGGGCCGTCCCGGCTACTTCAAGTTCGTGGACCTCCCAGACCTGTTCCCGGTCCTTCCGGCATCGGCGGCCACGTTGCTGAGGGACGTCACGGTGGAGGAGGCGGTCTCCCTGTTCCACAAGTTTGTCGGGAAGAATCTCACGGAGGACTTGGTGATTCGCATCCTGGAGGCCTATTACACACAAATCGTTTTTTTTGTTTAAGGTTTTCTTTTTGTTTTTCAGGGCTTTTGTGGCCTTTTACGTGGGTTTTTGTGGCTTTTCATTTCGCATCCTCTGCATTCACACTTCCTCTTTGTTTGTCTTTGTGGGTTCATGCGGCTTTTGCGGCTTTGTCTTTTCGCATCCTTTGCATTGCCAGTTTCGCTGCGGCAGGTGGCTTTTTGGCTTTGTGGCTTTTGGCGGCTTTCTGGCTTTGGCTTTTCGCATCCTCTTCTTTCCCAGTTGGGTTTTTGGCCTTGGCTTCCTGCATCCTCAGCATCGCCAGTTCTCCTCTGGTGCCCCCCGCCACCCCCGTTTCGATTAAAATGCACGATCATCATGCGACAGCTACTTTTGAGATTCTTTGCCCCTACTTGAATCATCACTTTTTCGATCATCATGGGGGGACTTTTTGGCCCTAGTTGAATCATCACTTTTTCGATCATCAGGGGGCTGCCGCCCGCGCCAACCCCCCCGCTCCTTTAATTGAATCATCACTTTTTCAATCATCATGGGGGGGGCTGCCGCCCCCCCAACCCCCCCCCCTACGTTTTAGGTGTTTTACAGGGATTGCACACCCGTATTTGAATCCGCTTGCTGGAGAGGAGCTGATGCTGCTGAAGATGTAGGAAGCCAAGGCCCTCGATTTGCTGGTGATGCTGGGGATGTTGGCTGGACAGGGGGGGAATGCTGAAAACGATGCTGATGATGTTACGGACCAGCGTAAAATACGTACATTTCGTGAGACAATGCTGTAAAATGCAGCATGTTACAAGCCAGGACGGAAAACAAACAATCCACAAAAAAAACAAAAAGTTCCTAAATTAAATCTCGACCCTTTTTGTTCTTCATTGAATGTCTGTGGCCTTGTGGTGTTCTGTTCTTCCTTTGTTGCCCGTGGCCTTGGGGTGTTTTGTTCTTCATTGGCTGTCCGTGGCCTCGGGGTGTTCCTTTGTTGTCCGTGGCCTTGGTTTTGTTCCTTGTTGGTTGTCCGTGTCCTTGGGGTGTTTTTGTTCTTCATTGAATGTCGGTGGCCTTGTGGTGCTTTGTTCTTCCTTTGTTGTCCGTGGCATTGGTTGTCCGTGGCCTCGGGGTGTTCCTTTGTTGTCCGTGGCCTTGGTTTTGTTCCTTGTTGGTTGTCCGTGTCCTTGGGGTGTTTTCGTTCTTGTTTGAATGTCTGTGGCCTTGTGGTCTTTTGTTCTTCCTTTGTTGTCCGTGGCATTGGTTGTCCGTGGCCTCGGGGTGTTCCTTTGTTGTCCGTGGCCTTGGTTTTGTTCCTTGTTGGTTGTCCGTGTCCTTGGGGTGTTTTCGTTCTTCATTGAATGTCTGTGGCCTTGTGGTGTGTTGTTCTTCCTTTGTTGTCCGCGGCCTTGGCATTGGCTGTCCGTGGCCTCGGGGTGTTCCTTTGTTGTCCGTGGCCTTGGTTTTGTTCCTTGTTGGTTGTCCGTGTCCTTGGGGTGTTTTCGTTCTTCATTGAATGTCTGTGGCCTTGTGGTGTTTTGTTCTTCCTTTGTTGTCCGCGGCCTTGGGGTGTTTTTTTCTTCATTGGCTGTCCGTGGCCTCGGGGTGTTCCTTTGTTGTCCGTGGCCTTGGTTTTGTTCCTTCTTGGTTGTCCGTGTCCTTGGGGTGTTTTCGTTCTTCATTGAATGTCTGTGGCCTTGTGGTGTGTTGTTCTTCCTTTGTTGTCCGCGGCCTTGGGGTGTTTTTTTCTTCATTGGCTGTCCGTGGCCTCGGGGTGTTCCTTTGTTGTCCGTGGCCTTGGTTTTGTTCCTTGTTGGTTGTCCGTGTCCTTGGGGTGTCTTCGTTCTTCATTGAATGTCTGTGGCCTTGTGGTGTTTTGTTCTTCCTTTGTTGCTCGTGGCCTTGGGGTGTCTTGTTTCCTCTTTGTGTTGTTGTCCGTGGCGACACGACCAGTGAACCGTGTGTGGTACCCCGTTTACACGGTTCCGCCAGGGGATGCCACGGCCCTCGCGGCCGCCATCCCGGCGGCTGAAGCTGCCGGCGTGGACCAAGACGCGCTGGCCACGGCCAAGAAGGCCGAAGCCATGGGAAGCCACGGGAAAAGCCACACGTTGCCTTCCCTCTCTAGCCGACTCTAGCCTCTCTGAATAGTTGGTGAGAGCTAGCTTTGCCAACTTTCTGGTCACTGTTTGGTGACAGTACTTTGTGGCTGTAGGAACTTTACATCTTGAGGCTGCTGCTGTTTGCCGACTTCAATTTGGGGTTCCTTGCCAAATCACCAGATTCCAGCGGGCAAAGGGTGTCAATGTGAGGCTCTCTTCCGGCTGCAGAAGGAGAAGCGGGAGAAGGGCGGAAGCCTTAAGAGATGTCAAAAATAGGTTTTGCCCTTGGCGTTTGACCGAGCACCGTCCTTTCTTTGGCAGGCAAGATGGAGCGTGCCCGCACCACTGCCACGGAAGAGCTGGCGGCCGCCATGGCGAGTGATAACGCCGAGGAGCTGCGCAAGGCAGGGGAAAGAGGGAAAGAGGGAACGATTGAAAGAACCCGACACCCAAACTCGGGCCAGGCTTTGCTTTTGACCAGTGTGGCAATGACTTAGGCGGTGCAGAAGGCGGAGGAGGCCGGGCTGCCGCTGCAGGAGGCGCACGCACGCTTGGAGGTTCTGGAAGAGAAGGACAGACGTGGGCCACGGATGGCCACACAGATTGTCGGAGTGAGCTTGGATCGTATGGCGTGATATTATCATGTTTGTGGTTCGTAGTAAGTGTTGCCAGGCGTGTGTATTGCAGGAGAAGGCGGACTGCATCGGTCTTGCCTTCGAGGATCTCGAGTGCGCTATTTGCAGAGGCAGTATCTTCTGCTCCCAGCAACTTCAGCCATGCGCAGAGGGGGCATCCCACAAGCTCAGCAGCAAGTCGGTTGCCCGATTGCTTCAGGGGAGAAGTTGCTCGGCGAACGCCCCTTCTCCAGGTATGCGATCTCGCAGGACGACGTGGAGGCTGCGACGCTGGCGCTTGAAGATGCCGCTGGTATGGGAGCTGATGAGGAGGCCGGGACTTTTTTCAATGTTGCGACGGACGCCGAAGCGAAGCCCAGGAGTTGCGGAAGGCGGACGAGAAGATCGCCGACTTGCGCATGAAGCTGGACCCAGAGGCATTCTTCAATTGTGAGCTGGTCGCTCTTGCATCTCTTGCGTCTCTTGTTGCCATGTAAGAAAAGGTAGCCATCTCTTGTCAGCTCTTGCTCTCGCTTGCAAGCTCTTGCAACCTTCCTGCGCCAAATCTCCCCATCCGCTCGCTCAGGGCGAGGCGCGGCGGCGGCGTGTCGAGCAGCGCAAGGCCAAGGCTGGCGCCAAGAAGTGGAACTTCTCCGGCAAGAGCCGCTCAGCCGACAGGGGCTGAAAGTGAGCTGCCGTCGATGGGCCATGCGACCAGCTGAGAGTCACGACGAGCCAAGGCAGCAATCGCATTATCAACGATCGGTTCCGAGACTTGGCTAGACTTTGAGTTCAATTTGTTCAACCTGCGATGAAGCTCGCCCAGAGCCAGTTGCAGCTCGCAGTTCGCGGTAGTAAGAGGAGAACTTGGCATTCGCCGCGTTGCCGTAGCCGCCGTAGCTCGGTTCCCAGGAGAGCACGAGTCCGAGTTGGAGCGGCAGCGTATGCTTGCCTTCCGCGCTCGCGGACGCTTCAGGGCGAGCGGGGAAGATGAAGGCGCGACCATGGCACTAGCCCAACATTGGGGGATTGTTTCTGGCAGCGATCGATATATCTCTCCAGATCGTGGATTACTTTCAGATTTCATCATGCGATGCCATGCGAAGCCTGTGACTCGTACCGTGGCAATTTTTGCGGCAGGTGACGAAGCCGCAGAGAAGGGCGTGAAGAAGCTGCGAGCCGAGGCCAACTGCCAGTTGACAAGTTGCCAGTGGCCAGTGGCCAGCTGTCGCAGGTCACCAAGGAGCTGGGCGCCGTGCCTCTTCCAAAGCTGAATGAGGCACCGGCAGCAGGCTTCGCCTGGGGCCGCGTGCCCAAGGACGGCCTTGCGAGATGGGTTTGGTCTGGCTGCGCGCTGCACTTTTGAGGAGGAAACTGAAGCTCCCAGGTGCATTACACTACAAGCACACTTGGACGCTTGACATGCAGATTGGGCTGTGGACAAGGTCTGCAGGGCGCAATGTGCAGTGGTCACGCCTCCGGAGTTTGCAGTTCACGGGCCAAGAAACTTCCCACTGTTGCTTCAATGCGCCTAGGAAGCTGGTGCTGGCATCGACTTGCACGGCTCGTGGTGGGGCATGGTGGTTGTCCCTTGGATGGCATAAGACAGTGTATGCCTCTGGCCTTGACAACGCAAACGCGTCCTCCGCAGGCATAAGCTGCTTTTTGTCTGCCTTGGAGAATCAACTTTGCCTTTCAAATGCCTTGCGCACTGGCAAAGAGACCGTGGGAGATCGATCGCATGGGTTGATTGATTCAAGTTCTTCAAGTCTACAGCTAGCCTTGCCACTCTTTCTTTCCAACAGGTGCTCCATGCATTGCCCGACTCGGCTCCAACAGGGTTGAACTTCAAAGCTGCAAGACTGGACGTGCAACATGCAGTCGGTCTTGTCAGTCCATTTGCATCTAGGACTTCGCCCGAGGCAGCTCAGAGCAAGCCAGCCGAAAGGATGCAAACAAACACGCCTGACATTTTACCGCCAGGTGTTGCCCCGCACTCCTTAGTGTTGGCACCCGGAATGCAAGAATGGGGTGTCACTTTCGTATTAGTCCCAAATGCAATAGCTGCAAACACACATGTGGCACACGAGAAGCAACGCAAAGGAAGCAGCAAACACCCGCTCCTTGCAGCAATCACACTTCAACGGAATGCTTAAAGACTTGTTTCTTTTGGTTGTGTGGGATGTCAGAGTCAAAGCGCATTCACCAGCACGGCTCCTTTTTTTATGCCGCAAAGGACTCGTACCCTTGCACGCAAAAAAGAGAGAGGAAACAACTGCAACTGCGTGGCAAGGTTTGGAGGATTTGGAAATTATTTTGTACCTGTCTTTCAAGGATCTCCAGAAGTGGTATATCCTAGAGTCAATAGTTTTTCTATCATAATTCTTTTACTTTCATATCTTTTCCTAATCCTTTCTTTAATCTCAGAATTTGGAGGTGATACAGGATGGACATTATATCCACCATTATCCACTTCTTTTATGACCTTATCACCTTCAAGTACAGGACATCTTATATTAGGATTGTTAATCTCTGGTATATCTTCATGTCTTACATCTCTTAACTTTGGACAACAATTCTAAATCTGAGGTCTTATTATCATATCACGAAAGCTAGCTTTAGCTGGCTGAAGTTTCTCCTTGCGTAAGCAAGGTAAGGGGCTCAACTGCCGAAAGATTGATTTTTTCAATTATTTGAGCCGAAAAGATTGAAACAAATCAATTATTTGGACCCCCCCTTCCCCCCCCCCGTCTCAGGCTCGATTCCTCCTTGGTCCACCCCTCCCCCCGGGCAGTGGCTCAGTGTTTCAGCAGTCTCGGTTTGCCCGTTTTGGACTTGGTGCTACGAACTTTTACATGTTCCACCGATTCAGCTTGTTCATTTGAGACCTCAGTCTTCTCAGTAAACCACCTCGCAAGAATCTTTGCACACGCAGCATGCAGAAGCCAGAGGTGCTTTAAGACAGCTTCTGACGCCTCTCGTTGTTTTCATTTTTCAAGGTTTGCCACGCCACCATGTGCGTTTGCGTGTCGCATCCTACGAATCTTGCCGGGCCTCTCGTTGTACACAAGCTACCTATGAATCCACTCTGTCACCGACCCATCTCATGCAACAACTGCTAGCTTTCGTTCACCCGCTCCTCAAGTATTAAAGACTATCCCATTATTTCCTTTCTCTTTCTTGATTACCATTGCAACTAGCATGTGACAACACAAAGACAGCGCAGCTTCAGATCCAATCAGCACTGGAGCTTATATCCCTTCAGACCCTCGGTGAGGATGGCATCGACAAGGAGCCGGGGCAGCCAGGCTTGCGCCTGCGTGACACGTTGGTGGAGGTGAACGGCACCTCCCTCTCGGAGCTCTCAGACGAGGAGTGAGAGTTGAGTCTGATGTCTGGGGGCACCTTCATGTGAGGTGGGAAGCCAGTGAAGCCAGGGTGCAATGAAGAACTTGCGGAAGTTCTTGGTTATTACTGTACTAGTTTGGTATGCAAAGAAGCGCTTTTCATATTGACGACAAGACGGAGTCGTGATCTGGAAGGAGTGACCCATGGCGTTTGTCCATGCGAGCGCGCGTAAAGTCACACATCATGCACCGGGTGTTTGTGCCTGCCTGCCTGCCTGTTCAGAGAGGACTGCGAGCAACGATTCGCCGATTTGTTCGGCGATGGCTGCACTGTGAAGGTGGAGCCACATGTGCAGGCGGCAGAACAACCGAAGCATCTTGTGTCCGCTGAAATGCTTCCAGTTGCAGCAGCCTTGCAGGTGTCCGGGATTCTAGCACCCCCACAACCAATCGACAAGGCTGCCTTGCAGGCCTGCGCTGGGATGTTGCAAGTGTGTTGTGCAATGTAAATTGCTGCCGCCCCGTATCTTGCTGGCATTAGCAGGGCGACCTCGAGCGCTTCGCCGCAGACTACGGCGTGGAGCTGCGGTTGGAGGCACCGGGCGCATGTCGGCAGCGCAGCATGTTTCTTGTTCGAGCTTGTTCGACAGCTGCATTCGGCATGTTTCACAGCGATTTTTGTTTGCTCCCTCTGAACGCTGGTGTTCTAGTGACGTCACCACTGCTCCTACCTGGCTCCCAGTTTGCATCGTCAGCCAGACGCCTTTGAGCACAACCCGCGCCCATTCGCTCAGGATGCAGGCAACAATTTGCGCATCGTCATGGAGGGTGGCCCGGCTGCATCACATGGCAACCTGAAACGTCGCGAAGCGAGGTCCGCAGTCCGCGATCAAGGCCAGCAAGCCAGAGCTCCAGAATCTCCTCCAGTTCTATGCCGCCAGTTGAAAGGCCAGCACTCAGCTTGAGCTTGCCATGGCATGCCATGGCATCGCGGCATGTAGCATTTAGCCAACCCGAGAAGACTGAGCTCTGGTCCAGGCTTTCGCTACAGCCTCCTCTTGACAGAATGGATTTAGCCACGTTCTCACTGATGTAACATACCTCATGTGCCAATGTTTTTCCAGATCGAATCACCTTTGCAGAGACCAAGCACTTCTGTGCACGCATACCGCCAAAGCCGTTGTCACGTTGAAGCACCTCTTGCACTGAATTTGGTTTGCTGTAGACGATCCTTGCGACAGTTGCCCCTCATCCGAAGAAAGCTAACGCGCAACGGCCACTTGGCTTGTCCAAAGTTAGGAATTATTCGGAGCTTCCCATGCCAAGAACATGTACAGCACAGAAATCCCATTGTCAAGATTTCTCGTCTTCGGAATACATGGCCTTGGCTTCGGGGACTGCCCTGTGCCCAAAGAGGAGCAAGCGGTTTTCGTCTCACTGCCGAAGCTTAGCAGAGGCTGCTCATTGTGAGCCTTGCTGCCAGTCAGCTTTTTACCTGGGCATGGGCCATTGGAAGCTGTGCCCACTAGCCGGGCTCCTGACCTATGCTTCACATTTCCCCCCAAACAGCTGACTCAGCTTTGCTGTCTGGAGCAGAGGCTCCAGGAGCGTAAGGCCTGCGCGGTCGGCCGTAAAGACTAGTTTGAGAAGCCAAGGAACAAACACAAATGCAAAGAGAAGTTTTCAGCTGGCACTCACGAATGGTGGACTACACATTCCTGCACTAGTGGATGTGGCCGCGGTTTGGCTCAAAGCGCTGATGCCCTAAGGGCATCGAAAGCTGCGAGGTAATGTCCTTTTGGGTGCCTTGGCTTGACAGGTGGCTCGCAGAGCCTGCTCACTCGCATGGTGTATCCTGCTGCTATGTTCTTTGTTCAACCTGGCAAGGCCAATCTTGTTTTTTGTTTGCCTGTGTTCCGTCGTTCCTCTTGTGTCTCTCTTTGCACCTCTGTTAGCTCTTACAATTGACGTATCTTCCTGAACAGGCCTCCACATGGCAAAACACGACTCGACGATGACACTACTGCCATTCTGAACATGTCTCGATCTACCTCAGCAGAAAGGATATTTCAGAAATGCTGGCATCCGTCCAATAAAGGCAGCATGGGGTCCAAAAGAACATGATACTGTCGGTGTTTATTTGGACACATGTCTGTCCCGCCAACCCGACGGCCAAAATCCGACTATTTTATTGCGGTCTGGTCCCAGGCCAATCGGCCACCCCATGGTCAAACACCGGGCGAGGGAGGTTCCTGCCTATGGGAACTGCGAGGTTACCGACGAAACTTTCAAACAAGAATCTGACCTTTGCGCAGAGGTCACAGAGCTCGCCAGGTTGCAGACTTCACGGCATTCTCTGGCCTGCGCGTGATGTGCGGCTGCCAAACTAAGGACTTGATTTGCTGCCGTCGGCAGCCAGATCGGCCTCGATCCGAAAGCGATGAGTTCCTGGATGATGAGGTGCAGTTCTGAGCAGGTCATCTTTCTGTCATGCTGATTCGAGTTTCGACTGGCCCAGCTTGCGCTCAGGCCGCGAATGGCAGCAAGGCGGGCCTGCGCTTCCGGAAGTCAGTCCGGAAGCTGCGCATGGTGCGCATGGCTGCCTTCGTGTCGAGCTGTGGCTTGGTCTCATAGCCGCGAGCGAGCCGTGGATCAGAAAGCACTGCACATGTGGTAAGGGAAGGGCCGCACTCGCACAGTGTGGAGTGGCGAGGGGCCGATGTTGTTTTGCCAAGGCGGCACGAAGAAGAACAAGTTCAAAGCAGAGGAGGCAGTTGGACATGTGGAGGCCAACCTTTGTGCAGGAAGTCACAGCGCTGAAGGCAGCAAAGGCTGTAGCAGAGCGGAGCCGCCCGGCGAGGGAGGGGGGTTCGTTCAACGGGGTCGAAGGAATGGATGCTGAATGGGTCCTTAGAACCAAAGGGATAATCATGTTGTGTCGCATCGTGAGCGTGGTGTGCGGCACTCGTGGTTGGACGAAGAGAACAGAAGTGCATTCAGGCACATGAATGAGCTGAAAGGTTCTGTTGCAATTACTGAGCTGATTTTGGTTTCAACCCGGGCGTTGTCCAGGTGATGGACGCTTTGCGCCTGGCGCAGCCTTGGCGGGGGGCGCCCTCGTTGGAGCGGTGGCGGCGTGGGCGGAGCTGCGCCCAAGCTCGAGAACGCGGCTGCGGGCGCGGGGTGGGGACTTCGCGATTATCCGCTTTCGCATCCCCGGCTTGGACGATCTCACCATGCTGCCGCGCGTCATCACTGCCTGTTGCATCGCACTTCTGCTGTACAACAGGGTGACCACAACCGGCGATGTGGATAATTTTCGGCAGGTCAGTGAAGTGCTGGCTCTGACCTTCTCTGCTGTAGCCTGGTCCATTCCCTGGGTGGGCAGTCGCTTGGAAGAAGCCGCGCGTCGGCAAGTCTCGGCAAAGCCCAGCTCAAGAAGGCCCGGCTCTATTCAAACCCTGGCCATCGCATCAGACTTGCCGTCGAATGCTCAAATTGATGTGTCCTGGGTGAGCTCGGTCCTTTTGAGATTGACCAACGCTGATGGCTTGGTGGTTTGGCATGATGGGCGTACCATTTGCAGCCGTGGAATTGTGAGGCGGCTCAAGGGATTCGCATCCGGTGCGGAGTACGTGCTCAGAGGCTTAGATAACGTTTGGCAGCCTTCGGAGCAGCCCGTGGATGGCTACTGCGCCACGCAGCGCGCCCTGGGCGCCTTCCCAGACCAACTGCTGCCAGAGGGCGTCCTCCCTGAAGACACGGAGTCCGCAGTTGTCAAGCCTCTGCCCGGGGGCGGTCACCTAGTGCTGTGGTCTGCGCAGCCCCGCGCCTTTGACAAGGAAGCAGACCGAATGTGGGTGGCGAACGCTGCGGCCAAGCTTGGCTTACTTCTGAACGGGGACAACCCAGGAGAATCCATGCAGGAGGTTTGCTTTGAAGATGGCCTTCCTCTGCCGTTGGAGGACAACGAAGATGCTGTGCGCGATCCTTTTGCCAGATTTGACACACAGATACGCATTGCCCCAACACTTGTTGGGATGATCGGCCTGGGCGTGCTGATCCTGAATCGCCAGTCCTTGGTGTTCTCCGAAGCGTCAGGGTCTCAGCTCAGCGTCACATCATCTCTCTCCCCTGTCTCTCTCTCTCTCTCTCTCTCTCTCTCTTTCTCTCGCTTTCTCTTTCTCCTGCTTGGATCTAGCGCTACTGTATGGCGTGCTCTCAAAACAACAGACACTGGAACATGTTTGATCTTAGGTCAAGGTATGGTGTGGATCTGGGCTTATCTGGAAGCGCAGAGTCACAGACTTTGAGAATCTTGGCACCGTCATTGCCCATTCGGAATTTCAGCTAAGGACCCCGCGCAGACCCGCGCCGATTTGTGCGCTGGAGGCAAGGACTCGAAGCCAAGAGGTTTTCCCGGTCTCGCAGGCTCATGCCACGGCAGCTTCGCAAAGTCTGTTCAATCTGCAAATGCTCGTGCCTGTGTGTGGAGTGTTTCCTTGTTACCAGAGCAGGTCCATCCCACCGTTGCCAGGTCTATCCTGTGGTTGGGGCTTTACTTTTGGGGCCTTCTTGCCTGTGGCCGGCCAGTTCTCTCCGTGACGCTGCTGCTGCAGGGCTTGGTTTGGATCAGTGAGACGCCGAAGACCCCGGACATCGAGGAGCCACCAGCGAGCAGACCCCAAGCAGCTCTCCTACGAATGGGTCGAAGGGGCAGTTTGGGAGTGGCAGCTCGAAGTTTCCAGAGATTGCACCAGGAAATCACAAGTGCTTTGTGCATTGCAAGGGTCAACTTGCAAGACTTGGGGAATTGGGGCCACTCCCTGTGCACCATGGCATAATTGAGTTCGCTGTTTGTCAGCTGTGGAATCAAGAGTGGACTGGCTCATGACTTTGAAGGGGGCCATATCCACAGCAAAGAATGCCTGCTTGTCAGCTCCATGTTGTCTGTGGAAGGACACATCCCTGTGGGAGGATGCCAAGGGTGTGCCCTGCTCGGCATTTGCGCCAGCATGAATTCAGTGATGGCCAGGCACCTGTCAGCTGCTTCACTTTCAGCCCAGTTGACTGAGGTTCTGTGGGTTGACAAAAGCGTCAGTCCGAGTGCCAGTGAGGAGCTGGTATGGGCCTGGAGCGAAACTGGCGAGGTTCTGACATGCCTTGCAGCCTTGGGCCCTTTCGCAGGTTGCATGGATTTGCACTCTTTCACAGGTCACATGAGACAGCCTGAGCAACCAGCTTTCTAAAAGGCTTCCTTTTCAGCCATGTGGATGCCAGGTGCCTTCAGCCGAGCCACGAGAGCCAGTTCCATGGCCATCTTCTGGCGAGGTGATTGCATCATGCAGGCGCCGTGCCTGAGGAAGCTGCCTGCGAATTTCGTCCTTGCAGAGTAGGGAAAGTGGCTTTGCTGTTGAGAATTGCTCATGTTCGGTTGATATCTACGCAAGCTCATGATGCTCATCCTGCCAAAGAAATGTGTTTTGCACAGAACTTGGCGGCCAGGGTGGTTTGTTCACGGGCAAGCGACCAGTGCAACGCGCCTTTTGTGAGGAGGCCGAAATTGGTCTGCACATGTGAGACATGCAGGGCTTGATGCAGCGATTTTGGTGGGATTGAGAACCCGGCAAAGTTGCTGTTCATCAGCCCTGTTCAGCACAAAGCGAATGACAGGTCATCTCCATGGGCAAGGGCCGCTACTTGGCGCAGCTAAATAACTACCCGGTAAAGGACCGAATGGGGCGAGTGTGGGCGACTATCAATGATCATTTAAGTTTGCTTCCGGATTTGCTGCTACTTCCGCGGGCACATGTTTATGATTGGCTATCTTGGTATGGGGCAGGAAGAATTCTTGGACTACTTGCCCACCAAGACGCAGGCAGATGGGAGACGTGCCATGCGTTGTTCTTGAAGTTGACCTTGCACACTTTGATATGTTGGCATGAAAATGAGGGTGCCAGAGCCATCATCCTCAAAGACTTGGCAAAACATGTCTCTTTTCATTAGCAAATGAGAACATACTCCCGCTTGATTATTTCAGCTCCGCAGCAAAAGCCGCCACAGAATCAAGCCCTGCAATGACTCAACAGCAGACCGCACGGGGCCGGCGAGTAGAGGATTTACCCAACTGAATGAAAATAGTCTGAAGCGAGTTGCAAGTAGAATTTCAGCAAGTTTTGAACCCGCACGCCGTTCCAGTTCCGCAGGGCTTGTTGCTGACGCCGCTGCGGCCAGCACGGAATGCGCCACCAGCGCGGCGCTCGGAAAAACGGCAAGGACCCATCGGTTTTATAGGGAACCTCCAAAACGGCAGTGGACAGCAATCCCCAGCTTGAAAATATGCACCAAATGTTTAGTTTCCAAATGAGATTCATACCCGTGTAGGTTCAACAGTTTTCGGCGACTGTTTGATCCCCAGCATTGGGATGTTTTTAGCAGGCAACTTGCAAGGGCCAGCAGATGCAAAGCTCATTTGCCGCGGCTCACTGTGTACCTTGCCCAGAATTCCCAGTATGAAGAGAAGCATGAGTGGTATCATGACTGCCCAGCGGACAGAGCATTTATAGAACAAGAAAGACAGTATCAAAGCCATGCAAGCATCCAGCCCGTGCTGAACATGAGTGGTGCAGTGATGTAATTAGCCAGTGAGTGCGCGTGTGTTTGCGTGTCTGCGCGATCGCAAGCGCCAAGTTTGGCTTTAAACATGCTATTGGGCAGGCGTACGCAAATGTGCGACGGGCTAGGCAGCTGTGTTGCAGAAATAATCCCTCTGAAGGCTTGTCTTCGTTTCCCTTAAATCCAACCAGCAGAGGATATCCAATGCAGGGAATGTGCCCACAGCACGCACAAAATGCATTTCGGCCATTGGAGGTCGGTCTCATGCTACTGGGACTCGACGCAATGCGTGGCTTCGGCAAGGCGGGTCTTTGGGACCGCACTCGTTTGACTGGGGAGAGGTGACTGACGATGAATTCCTTACACAGCATCCTTGCGTAACAGATTCACCGGAGCTGCTGATATTTGTCATGTTCCATGCTCCAGAACGAATCGGGGGACGCAAGCTTAGTGTCAAGAACACCGCAGCCATCACTTGAATGTTCCTCGCACTGTACCTCCATCGCACTATTGCAAGCAATGACTTTGGGGGATTAAGCACGTCCGACGTCCAACTCGCCCAAGCCCAACAACAACAGACAGACACAGACACACATGGCAGAAGAGAATGTGAGACAAGACAATACAAAAGAAGACAGCTTCGATGCGAAAAACCGACCGGATTCGGCATGGTCAGTCTTCTATCCGGCCATCGTCTTGTTCAGGTGGACCAGGCCTGGGCAACGGCCGTGGGGGAGAAGTTGGCGGTGAGCCTCAACGTGTGAGCGGAAAGAAAAAGAGAAGACGTTCACTTGGCTGCCCAGCGCATTCTGTCGCCTTTTGCATAAACTTGCACAAATGCAGAGGTAGTTACAGGGTCAGCTCCGAAAGGGGGGGGGAATGAGTGTTTAGCATGCTATGATTCTTTCCTTCCAGAAGTGAGTCCTGATCGCAGCCATTTGGGCTTGTGGTTTGCTTGGAGAGAAGTCTCGTTTTTGTGCCTCACTATGCGCACTCTTTTGCAACGGCCACAGAGATGGCGAAGGCTCTTCTCTGCAGCGCCAAATGTACAGAGCAGTACAGCTCCTTGGGTCGTGAGGGCGAGCGATCCTGCCTATCAGGACCTTGCTGCATCGAGTATCGAGAAACACGGGTTTGTCATAGTGCAAGAGCTCTACAATGAGCAAGAGTTGAAGGAGGTGACTTCGCCTGCAACAAAGCGTGCAGAGGAGGTGTTGGGAGAAGTCGAGGGCAAGCGAGCAAGGTTGGGAGTTGGAAGCCGCGCAGGCTTTCAGGAGGTGTGCCTGCGGTCACCCGGGCGCTACGATGTCCCATGCGATTTTGCGAGTTTCCCAGATCCGCTGCTGCAGAAGCTGAGCGGCATAGCCAGCAAAAGCCTGGGGGCGGCAAAGCACGCCTTTGCGGGCCTGGTGCGTGCAGAGCCCAAGTCAGCTGCACAGATCTGGCACGCGGACTCGCCGCACGCGTCTGCAGAGCACAAGGCCCCGCACCTTTTGAACGTGTTGGTGCCCAATGGCAATGTGACTGATGAGATGGGCCCCACAGAGCTGGTGCCGGGCTCCCACCTGCTGACGAACCACTTGAGTGACTCCGCGGGCTTCGGCACGGAGCTGCTGTACCAGGCCGAGGGTAACAGCCCCGAGCGCATCGGATCTGAGGAGAAACCGGTGGCGGCCGCCATGGAGGCGGGCTCAGTGCTGATCTTCGACGACCGGGTTTTGCATCGGGGCGGCCACAACCGCGCGGCCTGCAATCGGGACGTCACATTTTTCAGCTACCGGCAGGAGGGCTTCATGCCCTCCACGCACTACGAGTCGGTGCGGTCGCTGGCCACCTACAATCACAGCTGCATGGCAGAAGCCGTGCGGGGGGAGTTCCCAGGTCTCAGAGGCGGCGAGGCCATTCTGGCAGACGGCGCCAGCGGATCCCAGCTGCATCAGTCCGTGATCGACGCCATGGTCGAGCAGCTGCGATACGGCATCGCCAACATCGGCGGCAGCTACGATTCCAGCCGCAGGGCGGAGGCCGCGGTGAGCAGCGCACGGAGCGCCATGGCGGATTTCCTGACCTGCAGCGAGCAGGAAATCGCCTTTGGGCCCAGCATGACAGCGCTGGCCTACCACTTGGCGCGATCTTTTCGCAATGGCCAGGTGTTGCAGCCGGGCGACAATGTGGTGTTGGACCCCATTAGTCACGGGGCGAACGTATGGACCTGGGTCCAGCTGGCGAAGTCTGCGGGAGCTGAAGTTCGGTGGCTGCCTGTCGGACCTCACTGCGCGTTGGATACCGAACGATTAGCTGCGGTCATTGACCATCGAACTCGACTGGTGGCTATGGGAGCTGCATCAAATGCAGTGGGAACAGTCCACGACATCACATCTATTTGCCATGCTAGCCGAGAACTTTCTGGCGAAAGAGCTTGGACATTTGTTGATGCACCTCAGCTTAAGGTTTGGAGTTTGGAGCATGGAAAGCAGGCTTTCCAATGAATCATGTCTCATGTTCAACTGTGTTGCGATAGAAATGACCGACGGGACTGAACACAGGACATCCTTTCAGTCCAATCAGAACATCACACCACCAAAGTATCAATCACCAGCAATTTGAAAAGTGCCGATGAAAGACCCAACCCGCAAAGAGAGGAGCTTTGATGTAACATAGCATCTAAGAGTCACAAACCTAATACCGCACGCAGCCACTTGTACAGCCTTTGCTGCTGAACCGGACCCGTCGGAACTGTATGTGGCAAGGCTATGCTCTAACACACAGCACTTCATGGCAAATTTCGCGTGACCAAGGCTGTGCACTTTGCACCCCATGGGCACCTCAACGTGCAAAGCATCGGCGCGCGCCTCAAGTGGGCGACCAAAATTTGCCGCGCCCGCGCGCTGAGGCTGCGATTTCCTGGCATGCTCTCCGTACAAGTTCTTTGGGCCACACTCAGGCAGATCGCGTGGAATCAGCCAAATGGAAATCAGCGCTGCTGTCAGGCGTTCTCTACGGCCGGAGTGAAAAGTTGCAGTCCTTGCCCGCAGATCGCTTGGAGCCTGGGCTGCATCGAGGTTTTCCGCCTACGCGAATTTGGGTTTTGGTTTTGATGCAGGTCTTGGATATCGGGAAGGGGCCCAAAACCCAGACTCGCGGCCTGGGAGGATTTTCATTCCATTTTTTGTGGGGGGAAACGTGTTGAATGTGGGAATGGGATTTGTCGGTGCCGCTCGAGCGTAGCTGTGCTAAGGATTGTTCAGACAACTCCTTGCCCAGCGCGGAAAACTGCAACATGTCCCGGTGGGAACTCGGCACCCAGAACTACGAGGCACGCTGTGCGCTGCCCAAATGTCCAGTGGTTACAGAGGCAATCTTTCAGAATTCAAGCCGCACAAAGAAGCTGATGATTTGCTTGACCGTTTTGGAACCAGAGAGGTGTGAGGTCATTGATTGTCAGGCACTCGCCGGCGTTGCAGCAGTGCAGGACCCAGACGCGTTTTCTTGGTGAAAGAAGAGCAGAGTTGGCCATCTCAGGCCGTAGAGTACCTGGCCGCAGTCGGCGATCGTTTCGGGGGAGCTGTTCCGGGCTCCTCGCGCACAGAGCGCTTGGAGACAGGCGTGGGTGAGAAACTGATCCCTTGCGAAAAGGCAGAAGATTTGATTTCCGGCTTCGATTTCAGTCTTTGGTAATGATTCAAGGGACCGGCCAGCGAGCTGAGAATAGCAATGACTGGGTGGAGAGGAGGAAAACAGTGGTGCTGAACGAATGTACGCGTGCCAGGCTTCCGTGCCATCACCGCTCACGAGAATGAGCTGAAGCAGCGATTTCTGGTGGGGCTGGCAGTTGGGCTGAAGCAGACTCTTGGGCGGTGCACTCACTTCAATTGACCATGAACCTGGCTCTTCTTATGACATAATCAGCTGGCAACCCCCACCTCTTCCATTGAGGGTGAGCTATTTCTTGGTTTTTGTTCGCATTCCGCCAAGCGCAACCATAGGCAAGCAGGCAAACTTGCTGGCTGGCTGGTTGGCTGGCTTGCTGGCTGGCTTGCTGGCTGGCTGGCAACCATAGGCAAGCTTGCTGGCTTGCTGGCTGGCTGGCTGGCTTGCTGGCTGGCTGGCAACCATATTAATATGCAAGCAGGCAAGCTTGCTGGCTGGCTGGCTGGTTGACTGGCTTACTTGCTGGCTGGCTTGCTGGCAATCGTATTATGCAAGCAGGCAAGTTTGCTGGCTGGCTGGCGGGCTGGTTGACTGGCTTGCTTGCTGGCTCTGGCTGGCTGGCTTGCTGGCTCGCTGGCAACCATATGCAAGCAGGCAAGCTTGCTGGCTGGCTTTGGCTTGCTTGCTTGCTGGCTCGCTGGCTGGCTGGCTCGCTGGTTTGCTGGCTGGCTTGGCTCGGTGGCTGGCTGGCTGGCTTACTTGGCTTGCTGGCTTGCTTGGCTTGGTGTGGCTGGCTTGCTTGAACCGACCCTAAACTGCCTCCCACCTAAACAAACCCTAACCCAAGCACCAGACAACCCTGAAGCATTCCCAAATCATCCCGGGTGTTAGTTTGCTGGGCGCAGCAATTTGCCGGCTAGACAGTCCCTGTCCAATAGTTGAATTTGTGGTAGCTCTGTCGCCTGAGAGATGTCGCGATCCTGCGCAATGGTTGTTGGTGCCAGTGCCTTGATGAGTGCGGAGGCCTTTGTGGCCACCCCCACCCCTGCCACGCCGCCACGGCAAATGAGCCACCAAGCTGCTTCTACGACGGCGCCAAGTGCCACATCGGCCTGGTCAGCCGGATCATGCGGGGCAGTGGCAGTGGCTGCTGCCGTTGGCATTCATGCGCGTGGGCGCAAATCCAAGGTCGCTCGTGGAGAGGCGCTTTACGAGCGGCAGAGGAATGCCTACGCCGATCTTGCCTACCTCAATGATGTCGGCTACTTGCCGGATGGCACACCCATGCACAAGGCGGGCAACGCCATCAACCATCCGGAGAGGGTGGGTGCAGACCCACATGTGGATGGTTCTGAGCTTCCTCGGGGTCACTTCCTGAACTCGGTTGGCTACCTGCCGGACGGCACACCTCTGAATGCTGCAGGCAATGCCATCAACCACCCGGAGAGGATGCAACCAGACCCGCACAAGAATGGTTCACCGCTCCCTGCCTCCACCTACGCCGCGGATGTGGGGTACTTGGTGGACGGCACACCCCTCAATGCAGCGGGCAACAACTCCTTGAAGGGTGGGGCGGCAACACAGGCAGCGCCAGTGCTGGCGGCAAGCATGCCTTCAACGCCAAGCTCACCTGCTACTATGGCAGATGCTCAAGGCAAGCATGGAGCCCATGGAATTCAATATCCCTACAGCAACCAGAAGGACGTGTATGCCGACTTGGAGTACACCAATGACGTGGGCTACTTGCCGGACGGAACTCCAATGAACAGGGCAGGCAATGCCATCAACCACCCTGAGAGCATCCAGCCAGATCTGCACAATCCGGGAGCTCCGTTGCCAAGAGCGCTGTTCACGAACTCGGTTGGCTACCTGCCGGACGGAACGCCCCTGAACGCTGCAGGCAATGCCATCAACCACCCGGAGAGGATGCAGCCAGACCTGCACAACCCGGGTTCTCCGCTGCCCACTTCGGTCTACGCAGCGGATGTGGGGTACTTGGTGGATGGCACACCCCTCAATGCAGCGGGCAACAACTCCTTGAAGGGTGGGGCGGCAACACAGGCAGCGCCAGTGCTGGCGGCAAGCATGCCTTCAACGCCAAGCTCACCTGCTACTATGGCAGATGCTCAAGGCAAGCATGGAGCCCATGGAATTCAATATCCCTACAGCAACCAGAAGGACGTGTATGCCGACTTGGAGTACACCAATGACGTGGGCTACTTGCCGGACGGAACTCCAATGAACAGGGCAGGCAATGCCATCAACCACCCTGAGAGCATCCAGCCAGATCTGCACAATCCGGGAGCTCCGTTGCCAAGAGCGCTGTTCACGAACTCGGTTGGCTACCTGCCGGACGGAACGCCCCTGAACGCTGCAGGCAATGCCATCAACCACCCGGAGAGGATGCAGCCAGACCTTCACAACCCGGGTTCTCCGCTGCCCACTTCGGTCTACGCAGCGGATGTGGGGTACTTGGTGGACGGCACACCCCTGAAGGCAGCGGGCAACAACTCCTTGAAGGGTGGGGCGGCAACACAGGCAGCACCTCCGGCAAGCTCTTCGATTTCCTCGGCCACTGCTTCAGCACCACAGGCCTTGGCTGCTGCGGCGTTTGTGGGATTTGCTTCGCAAGTCAGGCGCAGCGGGGGCTTTGAGTATTCGCTCCAGAAGGATTCCTTTGCTGACCTGCACTACGTGAACGACGTGGGATACCTGCCTGATGGCACGCCTTTGAACAAAGCTGGCAACGCTCTGAACCATCCTGAGAACGTGCAGCCTGACCGTCACACACCGGGTTCGCCCTTGCCGCGCGCCAACTTTGCCAACGAGGTGGGCTACTTGCCAGATGGCACTCCCATGAACCGAGCCGGGAATGCCATCAATCACCCCGAGAACATTCAGCCAGACCAGCACACACCGGGCTCCCCTTTGCCTGCGTCTGCATACGCGGCTGACGTTGGCTACTTGGTAGATGGCACGCCCATGAAGGAGGCTGGCAACAACTCCATCTCTCGCTGATGTAAATAGTTGGTGAAATAGTTTCAGCTGTGCAACTGGGCAATGCCCAAAGTTTCGATTGCATTGGCTGGCCGTTTCAGATGTAGCTCCCTTTCTAACGCATTGGGCAGTCCCCTTTGCGAGGCGGAAGGGGGCTTCAAGTGTCAATGAATCAATGAGTATCATTTTTCCGCTGCTTCAAAGCGGCAAATAGTTCTAATTAATATACACGAGGCTCGCTTGGACAGAATGCGCAAAGTAGAACGGTCTTTGGTGAGGTCCATCACAAGGGCAGATGCAAGGATCTTCAGAGCGAGCCCGGATTCCCTGGTAGAAAGTCATGGCCCCGCAACAAGTGTGGGCTCGGCCAATCTGGCTGTAGTGCAGTGCAAGCACGCCTGGCTTCCTACAAATCAAGCAATGGCTGCTCTAGTTGCGCAAGGCGAGCCGCAAGACAAAAGCTGCAAGGCCGAATGCATCCAATCGGGCCATCCCCAACTAGCCCTAATCCAAGCCTAAGCCAACACTTGATTGTGACCCGCATTAGGCAAAAAGCTGAGTTCAGCACAAGCTCACCCAAGCATCCGAAAGTCGGCCCCTGACTCCGCGAAGCTGCCAGGAAGGCCTCCACAGCCTGCCCAATGTGCAGCTGCCAGCGCCTCAATGGCCCAAGCTGGAAACTTGAAAGTGAAAAGTGCCAAGTTTCAGCATGTAGCCGATTTTTAGGATTCCAGCTGGTTTCCAGCTGGTCAGTGTTGTGGGCCAGTTGGTGGGAAGGCATCGCGACGTTGCAATGTTGCGCTCGGGAAAATGCAGGCTTGGAGTGGCCGACGCTGCCCGTGCCTCCGATCGCACCTCCACCTTTGCAATTGCGAGGAAAGGTTTGGCTCCCCAGGACGGACCAAGTGCTGAAGACCGACTGCTCCCTCAAAATTGCAGAGAATATGTGAAGTCGCCAGTGTCAGTGTCACTCGCGTGTAGAGTCAAGCATATCCATAGATCTCAGCCAGGAGCTGGCCGACAAACTCTGCGAAAGGCCAGCTATTGGGATAAGGATCCGGGAGCCAATCCACGGGCGACTTCAGACTGCTTGCGAACTGCGCCGATGTGCCAGGGGTGTATGGTGCACAGCTGGCAATCACTACGCTGGCTTGTGGGAAGCGCACAGCGGCGGATTGGCCACGACCTCCACTGGCATGGCTCGAGACTTGCCTGAAGTGTCTCGAAGCGTCCAGAAATCGGGGCATCCCAAAATTTGCATTACGCTTGAGTCCTATGCTGCCAAGGCCTTGGGCTTTTGCATTACAACACTTTGGAGGAGGCCTGCAAAGCAAGCTGAAGATTTGGATGATTTGTGCATGCTGGGCAGGTTGACCAGATCCTATCCGCATTGGAGAGCATTTGAACAAGCGCAAACCCACATCGTATCGCTTGGAAACAATTAATTGAGATCTGCGGCTAGGTTGAGGCTGTCCTTTTTGTCAATCATATTTAATAATTTGACAAATTGATTACAAATCCTTACGAAAAGGTGCACCTATAAGCGATAGAATTCAAAAATATAATTTATTATTATTAATGAAACATATATTATAATTCTAAAAATAATAAATAATTAAAAATAAAATAATAATATATTTTTCTAATTTTAAATAAATATATAAATTAAATTATTATTAATATATTAATATTATTTTAGAGCTTTTGGATATGTTTTTTTAGCTTTATTTTTTTTTATGTTGTTATTCGTTTTTTATGAATTATTTTATATTTTTTGTTATATTGATTGATTTTTTTGTATATTGTTTCTTTTAGTTTTGTTATTTATTTTTTGTATTATATATATATATATTCCGTTTTTTTTTCCCGGTATTTTGTGTTTTTTTCTTATATTGATTTTTTTTTTGTTTGATTATATTTTTATTTCTTTATATTTTATTTATTTATATTTTTTTTGTTTTGTTTTTTAATATTTGCCGTTAAAATCATTGTTTATTTAGTATTTTTATAATTGGGATACTTAAAAATATGTAAATTTTAGATAAAAAGAATTTTAAATTAACAAAGAATTGGCAGGTGGGCGGGCGATGCCAAAACCCTTATATAATTGATGTATTTTGGGGGGGGGATTAAGGAGGGATTATTTTTTATTCTATCTTAGGTATTTGATATATCGATGAATATTGATAAATTTAAAGAAGAATTAAATTAAAAGAATTTTATGTTTTTTTTTTAAATGATATATTTAAATAATAATAATATATTATTATTAATAATTAATTGAATTTTAAAATTAACATAATATAATAATATATCTAATATACTATTGAAATATGATATTTAATATTAACAAATACTTAATATAATTAATTTATAATATATTTTTTATTGTAATATATATAATTATAATATATATATATTATATATATATATTTATTTATAATATTTTAATTTTTATAGTTTATTATTTTGATAATTTTAAATAATTTTATAGATATTAGATATATAAATTCTTTATTTCTTGGCAAATTAATTGATATATAATATTAATTATTGTATGTTTTTATTTGTATTTCTTTAATAAGGATATTGGATATACTAAATTATCGAGATATTAATATAAATATAAATTTATTAAATTATATATAACATTATTATATTATATTATATATATATATATTAATATATAATATAATATTATAAAATCATATATATAATTGAAATTATTATTAAAACATATATAATATATAAGTTAAAATATATTTGAATTAAATTATATATATATATATGAATTTTATATATAAATTTTAAAGATATTAATTTCAAGAAATGAAATGGTGTTCCCTCATAAAATTCCCCCTCAAAATCATTAAGGATGATTTAAGAATATATTTTTTTTAGAAGGATAATTGAATTTAATTCGGCTCAATTGGGCTTAATTAGGTTTAATAAGCTAAAATCAGATTTATTATCTAAGATTAATTAATTCAAATTCAACCGAACCTTGCCAAACCCAACATTGTCAATTAATCGGTATTTCCATTTGTCCCGACTCACATTTGTGAAATTAATCCACATACTAAAATATAATTCTATATAATACTCGAAATAATCAATATTAATATATCAAAATGGAAATCATTCTTCCCCCCTTCCCAACAATTCAAATTTCAGAGAATTTACATCATATTTAACATTTAAAAAAGGTATTATAATTTTCCTTTTCTTCTTTATCCTTCCCCTATCCTCCCTTTCATTTCCAGCCCCCCTCCCCTACGAAACTCGCCGAATTTCACAATACATTACTCTCGCCAAACAAAATTCTAACAAATCTGTTAACTCCCAAATAAATCCCATCAAAACGAATTATAAATTCATAAAACAATTCAAATTCTTTTAATTGTTTAATGAAAAATAAATAAATAATATATAATTTCCTAATAATATTTCTTATATATTAATTTTTGCATTATTTATTTCTATGTATATATTCCTGTTTTATATCCATTTTTTTAAAACAAACACATATCCTAATTCGCCTCGGCCCCAAAGGGGCCAAGGGCGCTCAGATCTCTTCTCCAAAGAGAATCTTCGCTTTTCCCCTCCCCCAACCCCCTCCCCAACCAAAATTTTGCCGGCCCGCCCCCCCCCGCCCCCCCACCCATGTCGGCTGACCCAAAATCCTATCCGACGGGCCTTGAAATTTTCGGGGTTCGTCGGCGTCCAGCTCCATGGGTCCATTTTTGTCGAAAATGTGCTGACAAGTACAAAAATCACTAAAAAAATGCTTTTTTGTCCTGAAAAGCATGACCTCTCCTGCTGGCCAGGCCTATCTGACGTGTCTGAGATTAGGCTCAGGCCCAGCCCAACCAGCAACCCGCCTGCTGGCCAGGCCTGTCAGCCCAGCCCACCCAGCCTCAGGCCCAAGCTTGTCTGAAACAGGCCTAGCCCAACCAGCAACCCGCCCAAGCACGGCCCCAAGTCATCCAGCAAGCCCAGCCCAGCCTGCCCAGCCCAGGCCCCGGCGCATCTCGGAGCATGCCAGCCACTAGGCCGGCCCCCAGCTCCCAGCCCACCAACAGGCTCAGTCCAACGTGCCAAAATCAGGTTTGTCTAACGTGTCTAGGACTAGCCTCAGGCCAACGACCAATCTCACATATCCAAGATTGATCTCAAGTTACACGAGCTACTAAACCTGTCTAACGTGCGTGCCCCAGCCCCTCAGTCCGGCTGCCCAAGCAGCAGGCCTTGACCTCCTGTTCGCGTCTGGTCCCAAGCCCAACCCCTCAGCCCGCCTGCTGGCGTATCCACCCGCCTACTGGCGTATCCAGCCAGCAACTCGTCACCCAGCCTCAAGCCCAAGTGTATATAAAACAGGCCTTGTCGTCCAGCCCAAGTTCCAAGAGCGCAACTAGCAGCGTAATCCGGCTGCCCGGCAGCCACCAGCCCACCCATAACTTCGCAATCTCGTAGCTAAGATTAACTTCAGGCCCATCCCAACCAGCAACCCACCTCAGCCCAGCCTAACCAGCCCAGTCCCCGACGCATCTCAAGGCATGCCAGCCACTAGGCCGGCCCCCAGCTTACAACCCACCAGAAGGCTCAGCCAAACATAACGACTTCCAAACTAAAACGAGCGACTTCCGAATATCGAGCTAAAACGAGCGAACTAATAGAATCAAAAGTTTTCAGCAAGATTCGGATCTTCATAACACCGAATTTCAGTATTCCTAATCCTTCCCTCAAACTAAGAAGGCCGAGGCAGGCAACGCGAACTGTTTACAACTATATCTAAATCTCATGTCTATAATATAATTATATTATATTAATATATAATCAAATTATTATAATTTACAATTTAACACATTATATTTAATAAATTACAATACAATTTTAATCTATCAAATTTCTATATATATATAAATATATTTTAAACATTTTATTATAATAAAACCATAAAACACAAATTATTATATAAAACAAATCAAAATAAAACACATTAAAAAAAAGAAGTGTTAGCTTGGGCTTGGATAAGGGCTGGTTGGGGTTGGCCCGATTGGATGCATTCGGCCTTGCAGCTTTTGTCTTGCGGCTCGCCTTGCGCTTTCAGAGCAGCCATTGCTTGATTTGTAGGAAGCCAGGCGTGCTTGCACTGCACTACAGCCAGATTGGCCGAGCCCACACTTGTTGCGGGGCCATGACTTTCTACCAGGGAATCCGGGCTCGCTCTGAAGATCCTTGCATCTGCCCTTGTGATGGACCTCACCAAAGACCGTTCTACTTTGCGCATTCTGTCCAAGCGAGCCTCGTGTATATTAATTAGAACTATTTGCCGCTTTGAAGCAGCGGAAAAATGATAATTGATTCATTGACACTCGAAGCCCCCTTCCGCCTCGCAAAGGGGACTGCCCAATGCGTTAGAAAGGGAGCTACATCTGAAACGGCCAGCCAATGCAATCGAAACTTTGGGCATTGCCCAGTTGCACAGCTGAAACTATTTCACCAACTATTTACATCAGCGAGAGATGGAGTTGTTGCCAGCCTCCTTCATGGGCGTGCCATCTACCAAGTAGCCAACGTCAGCCGCGTATGCAGACGCAGGCAAAGGGGAGCCCGGTGTGTGCTGGTCTGGCTGAATGTTCTCGGGGTGATTGATGGCATTCCCGGCTCGGTTCATGGGAGTGCCATCTGGCAAGTAGCCCACCTCGTTGGCAAAGTTGGCGCGCGGCAAGGGCGAACCCGGTGTGTGACGGTCAGGCTGAACGTTCTCAGGATGGTTCAGAGCGTTGCCAGCTTTGTTCAAAGGCGTGCCATCAGGCAGGTATCCCACGTCGTTCACGTAGTGCAGGTCAGCAAAGGAATCCTTCTGGAGCGAATACTCAAAGCCCCCGCTGCGCCTGACTTGCGAAGCAAATCCCACAAACGCCGCAGCAGCCAAGGCCTGTGGTGCTGAAGCAGTGGCCGAGGAAATCGAAGAGCTTGCCGGGGGTGCTGCCTGTGTTGCCGCCCCACCCTTCAAGGAGTTGTTGCCCGCTGCCTTCAGGGGTGTGCCGTCCACCAAGTACCCCACATCCGCTGCGTAGACCGAAGTGGGCAGCGGAGAACCCGGGTTGTGAAGGTCTGGCTGCATCCTCTCCGGGTGGTTGATGGCATTGCCTGCAGCGTTCAGGGGCGTTCCGTCCGGAAGGTAGCCGACCGAGTTCGCAAACAGCGCTCTTGGCAACGGAGCTCCCGGATTGTGCAGATCTGGCTGGATGCTCTCAGGGTGGTTGATGGCATTGCCTGCCCTGTTCATGGGAGTTCCGTCCGGCAAGTAGCCCACGTCATTGGTGTACTCCAAGTCGGCATACACGTCCTTCTGGTTGCTGTAGGGATATTGAATTCCATGGGCTCCATGCTTGCCTTGAGCGGCTGTCATAGTAGCAGGTGAGCTTGTCGTTGAAGGCAAGCTTGCCGCCGGCACTGGCGCTGCCTGTGTTGCCGCCCCACCCTTCAAGGAGTTGTTGCCCGCTGAATTGAGGGGTGTGCCGTCCACCAAGTACCCCACATCCGCTGCGTAGACCGAAGTGGGCAGCGGAGAACCCGGGTTGTGAAGGTCTGGCTGCATCCTCTGCGGGTGGTTGATGGCATTACCTGCAGCGTTCAGGGGCGTTCCGTCCGGCAGGTAGCCAACCGAGTTCGCAAACAGCGCTCTTGGCAACGGAGCTCCCGGATTGTGCAGATCTGGCTGGATGCTCTCAGGGTGGTTGATGGCATTGCCTGCCCTGTTCATTGGAGTTCCGTCCGGCAAGTAGCCCACGTCATTGGTGTACTCCAAGTCGGCATACACGTCCTTCTGGTTGCTGTAGGGATATTGAATTCCATGGGCTCCATGCTTGCCTTGAGCGGCTGTCATAGTAGCAGGTGAGCTTGTCGTTGAAGGCATGCTTGCCGCCGGCACTGGCGCTACCTGTGTTGCCGCCCCACCCTTCAAGGAGTTGTTGCCCGCTGCATTCAGGGGTGTGCCGTCCACCAAGTACCCCACGTCCGCGGCGTAGGTGGAGGCAGGGAGCGGTGAACCATTCTTGTGCTGGTCTGGTTGCATCCTCTCCGGGTGGTTGATGGCATTGCCTGCAGCATTCAGGGGTGTGCCGTCCGGCAGGTAGCCAACCGAGTTCAGGAAGTGACCCCGAGGAAGCTCAGAACCATCCACATGTGGGTCTGCACCCACCCTCTCCGGATGGTTGATGGCGTTGCCCGCCTTGTGCATGGGTGTGCCATCCGGCAAGTAGCCGACATCATTGAGGTAGGCAAGATCGGCGTAGGCATTCCTCTGCCGCTCGTAAAGCGCCTCTCCACGAGCGACCTTGGATTTGCGCCCACGCGCATGAATGCCAACGGCAGCAGCCACTGCCACTGCCCCGCATGAGCCGGCTGACCAGGCCGATGTGGCACTTGGCGCCGTCGTAGAAGCAGCTTGGTGGCTCATTTGCCGTGGCGGCGTGGCAGGGGTGGGGGTGGCCACAAAGGCCTCCGCACTCATCAAGGCACTGGCACCAACAACCATTGCGCAGGATCGCGACATCTCTCAGGCGACAGAGCTACCACAAATTCAACTATTGGTCAGGGACTGTCTAGCCGGCAAATTGCTGCGAGCAAACACCTGAAGCCTGGTGGATGTCCAAAACAACATACAACACACACAAGTAGCCTTGTCAACAAGATGACAATCCCCCCTTCCCCCCCAAGACAAGTCGCTCCTATCATGTCACTGCCTTTTCAAACTCCGCTGCATGGATTAGATTGATAAACACAAAGTGCATCCACGAAATCAGCCTTGGCCCGATTGCATGCATTCAATTCGGCCTTGCAGCTTTTGTTTTGCGGCTCGCCTTGCGCTTTCAGAGCAGCCATTGCTTGATTTGTAGGAAGCCAGGCGTGCTTGCACTGCACTACAGCCAGATTGGCCGAGCCCACACTTGTTGCGGGGCCATGACTTTCTACCAGGGAATCCGGGCTCGCTCTGCAGATCCTTGCATCTGCCCTTGTGATGGACCTCACCAAAGACCATTCTACTTTGCGCATTCTGTCCAAGCGAGCCTCGTGTATATTAATTAGAACTATTTGCCGCTTTGAAGCAGCGGAAAAATGATAATTGATTCATTGACACTCGAAGCCCCCTTCCGCCTGGCAAAGGGGACTGCCCAATGCGCTAGAAAGGGAGCTACATCTGAAACGGCCAGCCAATGCAATCGAAACTTTGGGCATTGCCCAGTTGCACAGCTGAAACTATTTCACCAACTATTTACATCAGCGAGAGATGGAGTTGTTGCCAGCCTCCTTCATGGGTGTGCCATCCACCAAGTAGCCAACGTCAGCCGCGTATGCAGACGCAGGCAAAGGCGAGCCCGGTGTGTGCGGGTCTGGCTGCATGTTCTCGGGGTGATTGATGGCATTCCCGGCTCGGTTCATGGGAGTGCCATCTGGCAAGTAGCCCACCTCGTTGGCAAAGTTGGCGCGCGGCAAGGGCGAACCCGGTGTGTGACGGTCAGGCTGCACGTGCTCAGGATGGTTCAGAGCGTTGCCAGCTTTGTTCAAAGGCGTGCCATCAGGCAGGTATCCCACGTCGTTCACGTAGTGCAGGTCAGCAAAGGAATCCTTCTGGAGCGAATACTCAAAGCCCCCGCTGCGCCTGACTTGCGAAGCAAATCCCACAAACGCCGCAGCAGCCAAGGCCTGTGGTGCTGAAGCAGTGGCCGAGGACATCGAAGAGCTTGCCGGAGGTGCTGCCTGTGTTGCCGCCCCACCCTTCAAGGAGTTGTTGCCCGCTGCATTGAGGGGTGTGCCATCCACCAAGTACCCCACATCCGCTGCGTAGACCGAAGTGGGCAGCGGAGAACCCGGGTTGTGCAGGTCTGGCTGCATCCTCTCCGGGTGGTTGATGGCATTGCCTGCAGCGTTCAGGGGCGTTCCGTCCGGAAGGTAGCCGACCGAGTTCGCAAACAGCGCTCTTGGCAACGGAGCTCCCGGATTGTGCAGATCTGGCTGGATGCTCTCAGGGTGGTTGATGGCATTGCCTGCCCTGTTCATTGGAGTTCCGTCCGGCAAGTAGCCCACGTCATTGGTGTACTCCAAGTCGGCATACACGTCCTTCTGGTTGCTGTAGGGATATTGAATTCCATGGGCTCCATGCTTGCCTTGAGCGGCTGTCATAGTAGCAGGTGAGCTTGTCGTTGAAGGCATGCTTGCCGCCGGCACTGGCGCTACCTGTGTTGCCGCCCCACCCTTCAAGGAGTTGTTGCCCGCTGCATTGAGGGGTGTGCCGTCCACCAAGTACCCCACATCCGCTGCGTAGACCGAAGTGGGCAGCGGAGAACCCGGGTTGTGCAGGTCTGGCTGCATGCTCTCCGGGTGGTTGATGGCATTGCCTGCAGCGTTCAGGGGCGTTCCGTCCGGAAGGTAGCCAACCGAGTTCGCAAACAGCGCTCTTGGCAACGGAGCTCCCGGATTGTGCAGATCTGGCTGGATGCTCTCAGGGTGGTTGATGGCATTGCCTGCCCTGTTCATTGGAGTTCCGTCTGGCAAGTAGCCCACATCATTGGTGTACTCCAAGTCGGCATACACGTCCTTCTGGTTGCTGTAGGGATATTGAATTCCATGGGCTCCATGCTTGCCTTGAGCGGCTGTCATAGTAGCAGGTGAGCTTGGCGTTGAAGGCATGCTTGCCGCCGGCACTGGCGCTGCCTGTGTTGCCGCCCCACCCTTCAAGGAGTTGTTGCCCGCTGCATTCAGGGGTGTGCCGTCCACCAAGTACCCCACGTCCGCGGCGTAGGTGGAGGCAGGGAGCGGTGAACCATTCTTGTGCGGGTCTGGTTGCATCCTCTCCGGGTGGTTGATGGCATTGCCTGCAGCATTCAGGGGTGTGCCGTCCGGCAGGTAGCCAACCGAGTTCAGGAAGTGACCCCGAGGAAGCTCAGAACCATCCACATGTGGGTCTGCACCCACCCTCTCCGGATGGTTGATGGCGTTGCCCGCCTTGTGCATGGGTGTGCCATCCGGCAAGTAGCCGACATCATTGAGGTAGGCAAGATCGGCGTAGGCATTCCTCTGCCGCTCGTAAAGCGCCTCTCCACGAGCGACCTTGGATTTGCGCCCACGCGCATGAATGCCAACGGCAGCAGCCACTGCCACTGCCCCGCATGAGCCGGCTGACCAGGCCGATGTGGCACTTGGCGCCGTCGTAGAAGCAGCTTGGTGGCTCATTTGCCGTGGCGGCGTGGCAGGGGTGGGGGTGGCCACAAAGGCCTCCGCACTCATCAAGGCACTGGCACCAACAACCATTGCGCAGGATCGCGACATCTCTCAGGCGACAAAGCTACCACAAATTCAACTATTGGTCAGGGACTGTCTAGCCGGCAAATTGCTGCGAGCAAACACCTGAAGCCTGGTGGATGTCCAAAACAACATACAACACACACAAGTAGCCTTGTCAACAAGATGACAATCCCCCTTGCCCCCCAAGACAAGTCGCTCCTATCATGTCACTGCCTTTTCAAACTCCGCTGCATGGATTAGATTGATAAACACAAAGTGCATCCACGAAATCAGCCTTGCTCCGATTGCATGCATTCAATTCGGCCTTGCAGCTTTTGTTTTGCGGCTCGCCTTGCGCTTTCAGAGCAGCCATTGCTTGATTTGTAGGAAGCCAGGCGTGCTTGCACTGCACTACAGCCAGATTGGCCGAGCCCACACTTGTTGCGGGGCCATGACTTTCTACCAGGGAATCCGGGCTCGCTCTGAAGATCCTTGCATCTGCCCTTGTGATGGACCTCACCAAAGACCATTCTACTTTGCGCATTCTGTCCAAGCGAGCCTCGTGTATATTAATTAGAACTATTTGCCGCTTTGAAGCAGCGGAAAAATGATAATTGATTCATTGACACTCGAAGCCCCCTTCCGCCTCGCAAAGGGGACTGCCCAATGCGTTAGAAAGGGAGCTACATCTGAAACGGCCAGCCAATGCAATCGAAACTTTGGGCATTGCCCAGTTGCACAGCTGAAACTATTTCACCAACTATTTACATCAGCGAGAGATGGAGTTGTTGCCAGCCTCCTTCATGGGGGTGCCATCCACCAAGTAGCCAACGTCAGCCGCGTATGCAGACGCAGGCAAAGGGGAGCCCGGTGTGTGCTGGTCTGGCTGAATGTTCTCGGGGTGATTGATGGCATTCCCGGCTCGGTTCATGGGAGTGCCATCTGGCAAGTAGCCCACCTCGTTGGCAAAGTTGGCGCGCGGCAAGGGCGAACCCGGTGTGTGACGGTCAGGCTGACGTTCTCAGGATGGTTCAGAGCGTTGCCAGCTTTGTTCAAAGGCGTGCCATCAGGCAGGTATCCCACGTCGTTCACGTAGTGCAGGTCAGCAAAGGAATCCTTCTGGAGCGAATACTCAAAGCCCCCGCTGCGCCTGACTTGCGAAGCAAATCCCACAAACGCCGCAGCAGCCAAGGCCTGTGGTGCTGAAGCAGTGGCCGAGGACATCGAAGAGCTTGCCGGCGGTGCTGCCTGTGTTGCCGCCCCACCCTTCAAGGAGTTGTTGCCCGCTGCCTTCAGGGGTGTGCCGTCCACCAAGTACCCCACATCCGCTGCGTAGACCGAAGTGGGCAGCGGAGAACCCGGGTTGTGCAGGTCTGGCTGCATCCTCTCCGGGTGGTTGATGGCATTGCCTGCAGCGTTCAGGGGCGTTCCGTCCGGAAGGTAGCCGACCGAGTTCGCAAACAGCGCTCTTGGCAACGGAGCTCCCGGATTGTGCAGATCTGGCTGGATGCTCTCAGGGTGGTTGATGGCATTGCCTGCCCTGTTCATTGGAGTTCCGTCCGGCAAGTAGCCCACATCATTGGTGTACTCCAAGTCGGCATACACGTCCTTCTGGTTGCTGTAGGAATATTGAATTCCATGGGCTCCATGCTTGCCTTGAGCATCTGCCATAGTAGCAGGTGAGCTTGGCGTTGAAGGCATGCTTGCCGCCAGCACTGGCGCTGCCTGTGTTGCCGCCCCACCCTTCAAGGAGTTGTTGCCCGCTGCATTGAGGGGTGTGCCGTCCACCAAGTACCCCACATCCGCTGCGTAGACCGAAGTGGGCAGCGGAGAACCCGGGTTGTGCAGGTCTGGCTGCATCCTCTCCGGGTGGTTGATGGCATTGCCTGCAGCGTTCAGGGGCGTTCCGTCCGGCAGGTAGCCAACCGAGTTCGTGCAAACAGCGCTCTTGGCAACGGAGCTCCCGGATTGTGCAGATCTGGCTGGATGCTCTCAGGGTGGTTGATGGCATTGCCTGCCCTGTTCATTGGAGTTCCGTCCGGCAAGTAGCCCACGTCATTGGTGTACTCCAAGTCGGCATACACGTCCTTCTGGTTGCTGTAGGGATATTGAATTCCATGGGCTCCATGCTTGCCTTGAGCGGCTGTCATAGTAGCAGGTGAGCTTGGCGTTGAAGGCATGCTTGCCGCCGGCACCGGGCTACCTGTGTTGCCGCCCCACCCTTCAAGGAGTTGTTGCCCGCTGCATTGAGGGGTGTGCCGTCCACCAAGTACCCCACGTCCGCGGCGTAGGTGGAGGCAGGGAGCGGTGAACCATTCTTGTGCGGGTCTGGTTGCATCCTCTCCGGGTGGTTGATGGCATTGCCTGCAGCATTCAGGGGTGTGCCGTCCGGCAGGTAGCCAACCGAGTTCAGGAAGTGACCCCGAGGAAGCTCAGAACCATCCACATGTGGGTCTGCACCCACCCTCTCCGGATGGTTGATGGCGTTGCCCGCCTTGTGCATGGGTGTGCCATCCGGCAAGTAGCCGACATCATTGAGGTAGGCAAGATCGGCGTAGGCATTCCTCTGCCGCTCGTAAAGCGCCTCTCCACGAGCGACCTTGGATTTGCGCCCACGCGCATGAATGCCAACGGCAGCCGCCACTGCCACTGCCCCGCATGAGCCGGCTGACCAGGCCGATGTGGCACTTGGCGCCGTCGTAGAAGCAGCTTGGTGGCTCATTTGCGGCGGCGTGGCAGGGGTGGGGGTGGCCACAAAGGCCTCCGCACTCATCAAGGCACTGGCACCAACAACCATTGCGCAGGATCGCGACATCTCTCAGGCGACAGAGCTACCACTTACCACAAATTCAACTATTGGTCAGGGACTGTCTAGCCGGCAAATTGCTGCGAGCAAACACCTGAAGCCTGGTGGATGTCCAAAACAACACACAACACACACACAGTAGCCTTGTCAACAAGATGACAATCCCCCCTTCCCCCCCAAGACAAGTCGCTCCTATGATGTCACTGCCTTTTCAAACTCCGCTGCATGGAATAGAAAGATTGATAAACACAAAGTGCATCCACGAAATCAGCCTTGGCCCGATTGCATGCATTCAATTCGGCCTTGCAGCTTTTGTTTTGTGGCTCGCCTTGCGCTTTCAGAGCAGCCATTGCTTGATTTGTAGGAAGCCAGGCGTGCTTGCACTGCACTACAGCCAGATTGGCCGAGCCCACACTTGTTGCGGGGCCATGACTTTCTACCAGGGAATCCGGGCTCGCTCTGCAGATCCTTGCATCTGCCCTTGTGATGGATCACGGCGCACTGTCTCGTGCCAAGCAGACCATTCATACTTTGCGCATGGAGTACATCATGCCTCGGTATATTAATTAGAACTATTTACTATTTGCCGCTTTGAAGCAGCGGAAAAATGATAATTGATTCATTGACACTCGAAGCCCCCTTCCGCCTCGCAAAGGGGACTGCCCAATGCGCTAGAAAGGGAGCTACATCTGAAACGGCCAGCCAATGCAATCGAAACTTTGGGCATTGCCCAGTTGCACAGCTGAAACTATTTCACCAACTATTTACATCAGCGAGAGATGGAGTTGTTGCCAGCCTCCTTCATGGGGTGCCATCCACCAAGTAGCCAACGTCAGCCGCGTATGCAGACGCAGGCAAAGGGGAGCCCGGTGTGTGCGGGTCTGGCTGAATGTTCTCGGGGTGATTGATGGCATTCCCGGCTCGGTTCATGGGAGTGCCATCTGGCAAGTAGCCCACCTCGTTGGCAAAGTTGGCGCGCGGCAAGGGCGAACCCGGCGTGTGACGGTCAGGCTGCACGTTCTCAGGATGGTTCAGAGCGTTGCCAGCTTTGTTCAAAGGCGTGCCATCAGGCAGGTATCCCACGTCGTTCACGTAGTGCAGGTCAGCAAAGGAATCCTTCTGGAGCGAATACTCAAAGCCCCCGCTGCGCCTGACTTGCGAAGCAAATCCCACAAACGCCGCAGCAGCCAAGGCCTGTGGTGCTGAAGCAGTGGCCGAGGACATCGAAGAGCTTGCCGGAGGTGCTGCCTGTGTTGCCGCCCCACCCTTCAAGGAGTTGTTGCCCGCTGCATTGAGGGGTGTGCCGTCCACCAAGTAGCCCACATCCGCTGCGTAGACCGAAGTGGGCAGCGGAGAACCCGGGTTGTGCAGGTCTGGCTGCATCCTCTCCGGGTGGTTGATGGCATTGCCTGCAGCGTTCAGGGGCGTTCCGTCCGGCAGGTAGCCGACCGAGTTCGCAAACAGCGCTCTTGGCAACGGAGCTCCCGGATTGTGCAGATCTGGCTGGATGCTCTCAGGGTGGTTGATGGCATTGCCTGCCCTGTTCATTGGAGTTCCGTCCGGCAAGTAGCCCACATCATTGGTGTACTCCAAGTCGGCATACACGTCCTTCTGGTTGCTGTAGGGATATTGAACTCCATGGGCTCCATGCTTGCCTTGAGCGGCTGTCATAGTAGCAGGTGAGCTTGGCGTTGAAGGCATGCTTGCCGCCGGCACCGGGGCTGCCTGTGTTGCCGCCCCACCCTTCAAGGAGTTGTTGCCCGCTGCATTGAGGGGTGTGCCGTCCACCAAGTAGCCCACATCCGCTGCGTAGACCGAAGTGGGCAGCGGAGAACCCGGGTTGTGCAGGTCTGGCTGCATCCTCTCCGGGTGGTTGATGGCATTGCCTGCAGCGTTCAGGGGCGTTCCGTCCGGCAGGTAGCCAACCGAGTTCGCAAACAGCGCTCTTGGCAACGGAGCTCCCGGATTGTGCAGATCTGGCTGGATGCTCTCAGGGTGGTTGATGGCATTGCCTGCCCTGTTCATTGGAGTTCCGTCCGGCAAGTAGCCCACATCATTGGTGTACTCCAAGTCGCATACGCGTCCTTCTGGTTGCTGTAGGGATATTGAATTCCATGGGCTCCATGCTTGCCTTGAGCGGTTGTCATAGTAGCAGGTGAGCTTGGCATTGAAGGCATGCTTGCCGCCGGAACTGGCGCTACCTGTGTTGCCGCCCCACCCTTCAAGGAGTTGTTGCCCGCTGCATTCAGGGGTGTGCCGTCCACCAAGTACCCCACGTCCGCGGCGTAGGTCGAGGCAGGGAGCGGTGAACCATTCTTGTGCGGGTCTGGTTGCATCCTCTCCGGGTGGTTGATGGCATTGCCTGCAGCATTCAGGGGTGTGCCGTCCGGCAGGTAGCCAACCGAGTTCAGGAAGTGACCCCGAGGAAGCTCAGAACCATCCACATGTGGGTCTGCACCCACCCTCTCCGGATGGTTGATGGCGTTGCCCGCCTTGTGCATGGGTGTGCCATCCGGCAAGTAGCCGACATCATTGAGGTAGGCAAGATCGGCGTAGGCATTCCTCTGCCGCTCGTAAAGCGCCTCTCCACGAGCGACCTTGGATTTGCGCCCACGCGCATGAATGCCAACGGCAGCAGCCACTGCCACTGCCCCGCATGAGCCGGCTGACCAGGCCGATGTGGCACTTGGCGCCGTCGTAGAAGCAGCTTGGTGGCTCATTTGCGGCGGCGTGGCAGGGGTGGGGGTGGCCACAAAGGCCTCCGCACTCATCAAGGCACTGGCACCAACAACCATTGCGCAGGATCGCGACATCTCTCAGGCGACAGAGCTACCACAAATTCAACTATTGGTCAGGGACTGTCTAGCCGGCAAATTGCTGCGAGCAAACACCTGAAGCCTGGTGGATGTGCAAACCCACACACAACACACAACTACACAACCAGACTTGCCAATAATCCTTCCTTTTGGTGGCATTGGAAGCCAAGCGTGGCAAAATTTGCAAAGCTGCACAAATAGCATGGAGCAGAACACTGACGTTCTTCTCTTCCCTGATTTCGCAGCTGGCCGCTTCTGTGATGAGCTCGGCCGCTTCTGCACACCTGCACCCGTCTCTCCCAAGAAGTATGCGCAAGCAAGAAATGCGTGGCACTCCGCATTCAAGGCAACCTTTTCATTGAACGCCGTGCTCGCGTTTCTTCTTGCTCGTCTACTGGTTCATGAGACTGCTGGGCCACCAAATGATAGAGGGCGACCCTTCGCTTTCACATGCAGGCAAGCAATCTGCAAAGACTTGCTTCGCATTGGCCTAGGTTGGAGGTTTACGTTGATCTGGTGAGCACGAAGGGATGCATCCTTTCTAAATGGCCAGTACCTGGATGTAGCTGTCACATAGCTTTGTTTGCGCACAAAAACACCAACATTTCCTTTGCGCGGTCAACTGGCAACACGCTGTCTGTCAACAGTCAGCATGAACCCACGGAGCTCTTTGAACAAAAGCGCAATGCATGGACCAGCATCCATGCATCAACTGCTGATGACAGCTGCGCCCGTCATAACCATCAATGAAAACACAAACGCACAAACGCACACTCGTAATATGTATATATGTATATATGTATATATTATGTATATATATATACACACGTGAATATATACGCATCGTATGACACAAAGGTCAAGGGTGCTACTGCCACGTACCCAATGTGTTGTCCGGCCTGTTTTCCGCACTTTGCGCCTTTCTGGAGCTTCTCCTGGATTCGAGAGACAAGCGAGGTTCTGCGCTCTCGTTTTCAAAGATATTCATGTGCAAGCTGGGTGACTGAGAGATGAAACGTATCGAATGTTTGTCTTGAAATCAACGATTTTCAAGACAAAGTGAACATTGATATGGCGGTGTCCATTTTGGGAGGCTGCCCTTTCTGGGCAATTAAACCACCATTTGTTGAGGCCCCCTAACTTTACGAAACACACACACACACATATATCTTCTTCTTTTTCTGCAACCAACGATTTTTCAAATCGAGTCAGGTTTCTGCAAACGGGCTCCGTGCAGCTTCTGGACGGCTCCTTTCAGCGCACGCCGCATTTGCCTCTTCTCCTCTGCGAGGAGCATTGAGCCCTGGCTGGCGTGACGATTCGGTCAAACCATTCTAATCAACTTTGAAAATTATCGAACAGCGCGGGCCCTTATTAAGCTCTGATAAGGGGTCTCCTTTCTGGAGTGTGCTCAAGTATGGCAAACATATTTTGAAAACAGGATCTCGTGTGGAACTCTTACTAGGTTTCAACTAACATGTTGAAAGGTGTCTTCTATGGAGCTCTTGTCAGCTTAAAAAATAAAAATAAATAAAAATAAATAAAACAAAAGGTAAGTTAAGTTGCTTGCTATTGACATATCATATAAGAAGGGTCTCCTGATCATATTTTTCTACATCTAATTACAAGCTAATAAGATCACCCTTGTTAGATACGTTTCGAACAAGTATTCAAACCTTGTCAAGTGTTAGTTGTAAGATTCATTTCCAAAAGTTGGCTAACAGCAAAGCCATGTTTATTATCTTGTTAGATACTTTTAACAAACACTGATTGACATCTAATACGAGTCCTCTCATGAGATACTGTTCAATCTAATTAGGGTGGCCTTAGTAGATACACCTAGTAGGATCGCTCTGTCTAGATTCTTCTTACCATTTGATTAAAGTCTGAGACGGGTTCCGTACTCGCCACCTTCGGCGTTTTTTCGAAATCTCATAAGGATCCCCGCAATTCAAATTTGATTAAGAACAAAATTTGTTCTTAATCAAATTTGAATTGCGGGGATCCTTATGAGATTTCGATAAAAACGCTAAATAAGATCACCCTCCAGACTCCAGAACAAAATAATATCTAATACAAGTTCTCTCATTAAAGACTTTTCAATTGTTTCAATACGGCTTTTCTTGTACGATGCTTTAACAAATAGTTACACGCATTTCTGGTCTCCCGCTTGGATACCATTCAACATTTGATTCACATCTCATCAAGTACGAATCATTGTCGCTGTTTCACAAACAATCCGCGAAAGGTAACCTCTGTCACAAAACTTGAGCTCCCTCATTCGATACTAGGGCAAACTACACAACAACAAAAAATGCGTGTTCAACAAAGTATGAATCGAGCTCTAAATGCTGTACTTCTCGGATCTTCTTGGCAATTGAATGGATACGCAGAACTTCTTGCCAGCGGCAACTGTCATGCTCATGAATCACAGAAGCAAGGTTTGTCGCGCGAAAGGATTGCTCATGATGGAAGACTAGCCTTCGCATGAAGCGGAGATCCACATGTTGCTTCAAGCATTCAACTTCAGAAACTATTTCAGTCGCAAAACAAAGGATCCAACGCTCATAGCCTTCATCTCCAATTCTTCGGCTGGCGTTCGGCCTCAGTCCGTGCGAGCTTTGTGCGGACGTGTCTGGTCAATCCAGGGCCATTTTGGTCAAGCCCCTTCCAGGGTAAACAGCAAACGTTGGCAGCAGCTTTCCAGCCAAGGTGTGAGGGCCACAATGCCTCCAGTGGTCAGAATACTCTGAATCCAGCACGCGTACTCTGCACTTCAGAAGTCCGCAGCACAAAATGGCCTTTCCTTTGGAACACGTCCTCTTCCCAGGACCAGGTCCTTTGTTGAATGGGTGACTGGCCTTTACTTTGTCCCTCTTCTTTCAAAACTTTCGAATACCCCTGAACGATTGTTCTTTGTTCCTCTTTGACAACTAGAGAACGGGGAATACGAGTCCTGAATGTTAGAAACGGTCGCTAGAAAAGAAAGTTGCTTCCGAAGTCCGAATCCTGGGACTGTTTTGGGGTTCGATATTGTGGACAGTTCTGGCAATAAAAAGACAACAAATACCAGATCAAAGCCTGAGCCTGTTTGCTTGAAAACTGTGGTTTATCCAAGCCCTCCCAGATCAGCGGCCAAAGACCTCAAATGCAGGAATTCCTGCTTTGCACGTGGTCGCCAAGCCACGATTGCAGAATATTATACTTAGGGGTTGATCAATATTCCTGGCCCTTAAACGACCATGGCCAACTTTTCCCATTTAATGACAAATATCATTTATTTAGTGATTCCCCCGGTGGTCATCGCATGTAAAGACCCTTTTGATCAAACTCCATATAGAAATCCGTTGCAACAAATCCAAGGCCCCACAGTTGCACAAAACAGGCGGCCCACAAGAGCCCCTGATCTGCTTCCATCTGCCTGTTTCGGGTGGCGTGGCTATCTGAAATCTGGGAATCTGGGATAAAGTCTTGGCACTGCTAAACTTGGAATTGGTAATACTAAATTAAGTACGAGGAAATTGAGATACCGTCTTGGCGATACTCATTTGGAATTGCAATGAATGAACATACTGGGAATCTGAGATTGAGCCTTTAGAATTCACTTGATGCTAAATTAAGACTGTTGGTAAGGGCTTCCTGGCTTCTAGCTGGCTTCGGTCACCACCTCCAGTGGATGCTTTGGATTTTGGGAACAGAGTTAAAGTCACCCCAGTGCGTTCTTAGCAAGACACCAAGCAAGAAGGTCAATGCTGATTTTTATGATAAGTCCAGTAAAAGAAGAAAGAAAGGATCTTTCTCTCTAAACAAGGATTTTCCAAACGCGTTTTAACGCACCTCTGGGGATTCTTACACTTGTCCGTCCAGAAAACAACCTTGTCCTGCAAGCGTCCTAAACGTTAAAATGCAGCAGAAAGCGTGTTTGGCACTGTCTAACGCTTAGCGAGCGGCCAAAGTTGTCCGGCATCTCCACGTCGGCGCCGTGCTGCACCAGGCATCGCACCACCGCCGGCGAGGCGCAGGCCGTGGCCACGAGCAAAGGAGTCTTGCCGTCCTCGGTGGAGCCGAACCGCGGAAAACCGGTCCGCCGAACCGGTCGGCGGACGCGCGGGCGGTGCCCGGTTGGTCGAGAACGACCTCGCGTTTTTTTTTTTTTTTTGGGGGGTGCTGGGTTGATGGCATGCCGGCATGCCTGTGAAAAACAAGCGCGTTGCGTGCGGGAGAAGCTGCGGATTGATGCGCGAGCTTCAGTGCAAAGCCGTCCTATCTGACTCATATCGGCCCCAATTTCGAACGTCCCGAATCGTGAGATCAGCCGTGCATTAAGTGTGCTACTGGACATGGAATTGGCCATGTGTGTATGCCTAGATACTTATCATATTTTGCTTGCACTCATTGAACATCGGATTTGGTTAGTCATGTCGGATGCAACGCGACTAATGGGTTCCTACTTTGCTTTTCTCAGGCACATGCTTCTCAAGTGCGTGGCCTGTTCTCCATGTAAGCCAGGTAGCGCGATTCATCTGATCCTTGTTTGCTCCGGCTTTGAGCAGTGCCAGTACGCAGCTCTTGTGGTCTGTGGCTGCTGCAAACCACAAGGGCGATCTGCCCAAGTTATCCGCCTTGTTCTTGTCGGCACCTGCTTTGAGGAGACACTGAAGTATGCCTCGGCTGCTCATGTGGCCGAATCTGCCTTTTTAGGTGCCTCCCTTGCTGCACATGGCGAAAAAGGTTCACGCTTGCCTGCAGTACCTGCCAGGGACTCCTGATAGCTCTGCCAATACTAACTGTCCCAAGGATTTGGCCGAAGGGCGCAAGTGGCCGCTCTCTGCAGCCACGGACATCGGCGTTATGCCATCCTCGGACTCCACATCCGACACGTCGTCACTGGCGTCAGCGCCCTGGTCCAGATTCGCACCGGCGTCCACCAAGATCTGCACCACCTGCGATTTGGAATGGGGTGATTCGTGGCTTGGCGGTTTTTGGTGTGGATTCCCATTTGAACCACAGAACCACGGGATCCCAATTGAGAGTGGCCTGAGGCCGGCCTTCCATAGAAACTGAGAGGCAATCTGATCTTGAGCAAGGGCCCCTCCAAATCACTTGACAGCGAGGATTTGACGACAATGATTGCTTGTGATCGGGCCCGGACCCAAATCAGCCCACCCTGACCCCCCAACCCTGGCTTGCGCCAAGGTGCCTGTAGCAGACATTTCTAGTAAGAAAGCACCAGTCTCAAATAGGCTGTTCCGTGGTGCGACCGTTGGTTGTCAAAGGATCCCAATCAAAAGTCACTTCCAGTGCTCCAGTGGCTCATTTTGGCCGGTCCTTGAGGCAGCGTCCAGCCACCGCCACCCAAAGAGGTGTCCTGCCAGACGTTGCTTCATTCTCAGGGGCCATATGGCGATTGGATGCTGAAGGGGCTCGCTTGGGTCAGAGAGCAGGGTGGAGGGGTGTATCATTCCAGTCGGCTCAGAGAGTCTTATTTGGCACAATATCTTCATGTTTGTTGGAGAGTGCGTATCAAGCTTACTAAGGACCACACCAGCGAAACAATCGCATTGAACAACACATAGTTTCGACACTTTCAAACAACCAGGCCTCATTTGCGAGCGCTGATTCCAAACCCAAGGGATTGTATGTGTTGCTTCTGCGTGTCGCAAAGCGTATTTCAACTGTTGGACACAAAAGAGGACATCTAAGTGCCAGTCACTATACTGAAACGTTGTGTTAATGGACGGATATCTTCAAGGGCTTAGTGCATGCCCATCTGGAGGGGGCCTACTTCAGAGACTCCACCCGCAACCCCAAACGCACAAATCCCCAAACATAAAAACCGATGCTTTTCTGGCACATGGCTCACATGAATCAACGTGCACATCGAACAGAAATCAATGATTGCATCTCAACATCTGCCATCATTACTTTCCTGTACAACTAAAAACAAACCAAACCTCATTCTTCTATCACGCACACGCACACACACATCATATACATCATATACACATATCACAAACAAACGCCGCTGGGTCCTGCCATAGCGGTCCACCTGGTCCACCTTCGCATCTGCCTGGATGAGGCGCCGCACCACCGCGGCGTGCCCAAAGCCAGCGGCCACCAGAAGCGGTGACCTCCGCTCCTGAACCAAATGGCACGCGAGTGCTTGGCATAGGCTACCTCTGTACAGGCTAACCGCACTTGGACTTGGGGGATTAAGTATTTTTCACAGGTTTCCCCGGAAAGGGCCACGGCCCATTGAAATCCCTTTGTCTTTAAAACCACAAAGCGGGGTACCAAGAAAAGACAGATCTCTACGTTGATTCTGATCCATAGTGGAACTGAACAAGCAAGATCATCTGAACAGAAACCCTAGAGTGGAAACGGACAAGGAGTTAACCTTCAGTTGTTCTTGGATGAGATTGAGTTGTTTCTTGATGGCGTCCCTCCTTCAAGAGGGAGGATGCTTAGGAATGTTTAGGAAGCCCCGAAAGACCTTTCGCCACTGAGGGCCAATATGCGCGAGCAGGGATGAAATGACGCCTGTTTAGCGCTTCTCTCGGGCTGCTGCGCTGCCAAGCTGGCCAATGCATGGCAGGAAGCCAAGCCTTGTGCTTTGGTGGGAATGCTTCACTCATGAAATGGCGATTTTGCCTAGCAGAGCTTTTCATCGACTCTCAAAAGTAGCAGTGCAGAGAAGACAAACAGTCGCTACTGTGGCACGGGGATGCTGCATTTGCTACTGCCATGAATCGCTAAGCACAAGCGACTTGCTTGGGGATGCCACCTGCCGAGCGCCAAGAACACATGCTCGCGCATCCTTACGCGGCCAGTGTGATTATTTGACTATCAGGCTGACCCACCCCTTCCCGAGTGCATTAAAATCAATTCCGGCACACAAAGCAACTCCTACTTGCGACTCTCACACTCAAGTCTCCTTACAACACCGTGGACCACAGCCCAGGCAAAATCCCAGAATGGCTTGCAAGGCTTGCAACCTCCAGCCAAAGGAGAAGCCGATGCGACAACATGTGACACCATCACGTGTCCTGAGAGTCGCAGTGATTCACATCGGCTTTGGCAGTCAGCAAGAGCTCTACGACTTGGAGGTTGCCATTCCGAGCTGCGACTAGCAGTGGGGTCTCTGCAAGATAGACCTGGAAGAAGAAATCCCCATCTTCGTAGCTCCATTCCTGACGCGGCTGCAGCAAATGTGTATTCTGCTGCGGAAACATGATATGCTCGCCAACTTGGGCCAAGAACTGTGTATTGTCTCCGTTGACGACACCCCCTCCTCATCAGGATCTTGCAGGTCTTCTAGAAATTTCTCGATCGTTGCCACATTGCCTGCGTCGAGTGGCACAACAAAGGCGCACGGCCGGGAATCAATTCCGGTGTTTGGAAATGACAATGCTGTGCCACCTTCAAGCTGCACTTTGTTTGGTCATTGTCACGGATCCAGTGGCCCATGCAAGTGATGGCCTCTATGAAATTGCTCCGCTCAGTTCAGTTGCCTGGCATGCCACATGTTCGCATGACCTGGTCCGTGAATGAGAGGGCCTGAAAGCCAAGCTCGAGGAGACTGAGCGAATTTGCCACGAACCTCTTTTAGACTCTTCTTGTTATATATTTATATCTTGAGGCCAACTCCTAACACTGCCTTCTGTCATTCTTCTTGTCTCCTAGTTTTCAAGAATACGCTTCCCACTGCTACTTCTGAATAAACTGCTACTTCTGAATAAAGGCTTGTGGCGAGCAAAAGCGTTGAAAGTTGAAAGCTGGCTGAATAACTGTGTTATACATGTGTATATATATATACATACATATATATATATATATATATGTATTTTATTTTGTTAATGTACATCCACTCTTGTACATGACCTTGGCCTTTCTGTACACAGGTTTGACACATTTAGGTCATCAGGTGTTTACACAGTTAGTTCCACTTTAACATGGTAGCGGAGCAGTGATCGCTGGTACACGATCCTCGACCACAACCCAGGGTGAGCTCCATCACACACCCACAGGTTCAGGTACACAGTAGTGAGCAACAGCAACATGTCACAACAACAGCAGCAACAGGAACAACAGCAGTTGGGAGCAATCCACAGATACAAGATATCACCGCCACGGTTCACAGGAGAATACAACACATTCGAAGAATGGAAGTACAAGATGACAGCATACTTGGGATTACAAGACCCAGCATACAACAGACTGTTGAGACAGTCAGAGCAATCAACAGGACAAGTTGCAAACGACCAACTTGAGAATGCAGTACCTTCACAAGCAGTAGCAGAGCAATGGGTACAACTGAACAACAATCTACACTACCTCTTGCTGAGCACATGCGATGGACCAGCATCTACAATTTGCAGGCGAAACATGCAAGGCAACGGATTTGAAACATGGCGGCTGACACATGCAAGATACTCCATACCACTTGGTACACGAAGCATTGGGTACCTAACAAGGTTACTCAAACCACAACTTGATGAACAGAAGTTTGAAGAGAGCTTCGCAACATGGGAGTTTCAACTCTCCAGGTACGAACAAGACAACAGCACACTACTACCAGATGCAGTCAAGATTGCCATACTGCTCAACGAGACAAAAGGACCACTACAGCAACATCTACAACTTCAAGCAGGAAACATCACAACATATGCACAGATCAGACCAATGGTGATCGAGTACTACAGAGCAACAGCATCATTCACCAGGCTACAAGCAATCACAACAGGCAGCGACAACCAAGGACCGGCACCGATGGACATAGGAGCAACGTGGTACAACAAAGGAAAAGGAAAGAAGGGCAAGCACAAGGGCAAAGGAAAGTACAACAAAGGCAAAGGCTACAGGAACTACGTGAACAACTACAGCGACAACAGCTACAAAGGAGGAAAAGGCAAATACAATCAACAACCGGTTGGACACGGAAATCTATTCAAAGGACAACATGGATATGGCAAAGGAAAAGGATACAACAACAAAGGAAAAGGCAACGGGTGCTGCGACAGCCATCAAGGAGGAAAAGGAGCAAAAGGAAAACAAGACAACAAATGTTTGCTACAGATGTGGACAACCAGGACACATGGCGCAGAGTGGCGATCTACAATCAGGATCAGTCACAGATGCACCAACTGGCGCTACCACAACCACCACAAGTAGCAGATGCATCAGTAGTACCTATCTCAGGGTTGCATGAAGTAACCATCGCCATGATTGGCACAACACAACAACCGCAAGAAGACAACAAATGGGTCAATCTCATGATTGACAGCGGTGCGGCTACACATGTGTGCCCGCTATGGTTTGCACCACAATTTCCATTACACCAACAAGCGCATGGCACAGGATCGCAACTGCGAACAGTGACCAACCAGCACATCAAGCTTCACGGGTACAGATGGGTTTGCGTGACAAACCACAGCGGACAACAGATTGTCATACCATTTTACGTTTGTGATGTTAAACAGCCAATCCTTTCGGTTACAAGGCTGGTGGAACAAGGTTTCCAACTTACACTGGATGACAACCCAAGATGACAGCACATCAAAGGCTTTAACAGCACATTGGAGAACAGAAATGGCCTCTTCTTCCTACAAGCAGAAATCACAACATTACCAAAAGGAACAAAGCTACAGACACACAACACAGAACAAGGACAGATTGGCATGATAGCACCGACCGCAACGCTTACACCACAAGGTCCTGCAGACACAGGGCATGCAGGAGACTACTGGCAGTTCAACACACAAGGAGAACTTGTCAGAGTACACAGACAATTCAGGAAGACACTTTTCACACCATCAAGAACACAGTGTCCAGTTCCAGCAGAACA